CCCTGGGAAGAGAGTTCACCACTGAGAAAGCCGAGGGGAGACAGTGCCGGGCAAAGAACAATGCCTGAGGTAAGGACGCCATCCGCTATGGCATCCTCAAATGTCAGGATCCCCACTGCCACATGCTGGTGGCCATCTTCAACACCTACAAGTGCTTCGTCCACATACCCTCCACCTGGAAAAAGGCCGTGATGGTACTGGCCTACAAGAAAGGCAAACCCCAGCAACTGGAGGCCCATCTCGCTGTATGGAACCATCTACAAGATGTACGCCAGCTGCATCTCCGGCTGGGCAGTGACGGGAGATGCCGTCAGCACCCAGCAGAAAGGCTTCCTGTCCTGTGAGGTATGCTACGAGAACAACTTCGTTCTGCAGAGTGTGCTTGACACCTCCCACCGCTCCAGGAGCCAATGTGCGCTGGCCTGGTTGGACCTCTCCAATGCCTTTGGGCTCATCCCGCACAGCCAGATCTTTGCTACACTGGCTGAGATGGGCATGCTGGAAGACCTGCTGGGCTGGTGAGGGAAATCTATGCCTCTGCACCACCACCATCAGGGCTGCGGAGGGGGAAACCCCGGAGATCTCTGTCTGCAGCAGGGTGAAGCAGGGCTGCCCACTGAGCCCCATCATCCTTAACCCGGCAAAGGAACCCCTCCTCTGCTATATCTCCAATGGCTGAGGTGGGTTCAAGCTCCGCGACCAAAAGGTGTCCTGGCCTACGCAGATGACCCTGGTGCTGGTCGCAGAGAACCCCAGGGAGCTGCAGCAGATGCCGCCTGGATAGGACTACAATTCAACAACAGTAAGTGCGCCTCCCTCGACATCGAAGGGAGCCCGAATGACCAGGTACTGCCCTCTGTCTTCTCCATCCAGGACCAGCCCACACCCCATCTGGCCAACGGAGAGACCTGCAGGCACATGGGAACCCCCACCGGCTTCAGGGCCACGCAGACTCCAGAGGCCACCATCAAGACCATCGTATCCGACCCAGGGAAGATCAACGCTTCACTGTTGGCTCCCTGGCAGAAGACTGATGCGCTCAAACGCCCACACAGTGTGTGTTCCCCATCACCGGGTGGAACTAGAACACCAACGATGGGGGACCTCTGCGACACCATCATGGTCACCCCACACCTTCCGCCTGCTCACTTGCCCTGACCCCTCTGTGAAGGCCATCACAGATGGCATCCTTTGCACCGTAGCCTGGAAGTGACTGGGAAGGTACCTCACCACCTACCTGAGCAGCTCCCTGGAGTGTGAGTTTGGCTGGGACATGGGGGACTTTGCCTCCCTCTGGACGTGTGCCAGGAATGCAACTCAGTGCCTCAAGAAGCAGATCGGCTGCCAGTGGACCTGGGACAAGGAGTCTGGCAGTTTCACCATGGCCCTTTGTCGCGGCAACCCCCAACTATCCCTCATCCAAGCCAGACAGAGGTGGTCCCTAGACCAGCTTCTCAAGGACGTGACCCGGGAGAAGTGCGTTGCAGAGCTTCGATGGAAACCAGACCAGGGCAAGGTATTTGAGGTCACCTCTCAGTCGGACGCCAGCAACCACTTCCTGTCCTGCAGTGACATCACACGCTTCAGCGACAGGCGCTTCATCCATCGGGCCCGCCTGAATGTTGCCCCCCTCAACGGAGCAGTTAAGTTTGTGAACTGTGACAAGCACTGCCGGCATTGCGGCCACCCCAATGAGAGACTGCTCCACGTCATCTGCGGCTGCCTTCCCTGTTCCACCACCTGGAAGTTCTGGCACGATGCAGTCAGGCAGCACCTGGCCAAAGCCATCCCTGCCTCCAAGGGCACCGTCGTTCTGAACAGAATGGTGCCAGGGATCGGAAGCCAGCTGCAGGCAGACATTGTGCTCCACAACAAGAAGAGGATCGTCCTGTTGGACATCTCCATTCCCCTTTGAAAACAGGAAAGCTGCCATGGAAGAGGTTAGGGAGAGGAAGCACCAGAAATCTGTTCCCTTGGCGGAGACGGTCAGGCAGCAGGGCTACGAAGTCTCGGTCCGCGCCCTGCTGGAAGGAGCCCTGGGTGGCTGGGTGCCCTTTAGCACTCGTTCACTGGAGCCCTCCAGGAAGTGATGCAACTTGCTCCTTGCTCCCCCTCCCATCTAGTTACTAAACGGAGCACAGGTTTTTTCACTTAGCCAATTAACACATTCTGGAATCCGGCCTTGAGAGAGATACAGATAGGAAGTAAAATTTCCCTTGGCTGGAGGGGAGGTTGACTTTGGACACTACACCCCTCCTGCCTAACTCTTGGAGCCTTCAAGGTAACTGGAGAAAAAATCCAGGGCGAGTCCAGGATGAATGTTTAGGATCATGCAAGGGGGTTGACTGAGGAACACTTGATACCTTAGTAGGTTCTGCTTCTTTTTTAGTCTGGGTCAAGCTCAGTGTCAACCTCTCTTGGGTTAGGGTTCCTGAACAGGCACTGACTCAGCACTTTCTGATCTTCACTGGCAGTTACAGAAACACACACATCTCTTATCTGGCTCACGTGTCCTCATAGCACACGGCTCTTCATGAACTCCGACTGTTAATATTGCTGGGTATTGTCCAACCAAACAAAACCGATATTAAAAAATTATGGAATTTATACATGATGGCTAAAAATCACTGATAATTTAGAAGATGTATCTTCTCAAGAAACTTTACCCAATTCTATTTCAATATGGTTTCCAATATTGGAATATTTAACCCATCAAGAAGAGATACCAATTATAATAGATGATTTGAATCTTTGGTAATCAGGAAGACTAAATGAAGCATTACATATTTTACCACTAGGTAATCATATTACTGTAAGATCTTGTTACACTGCATACATATTATCTTGTTTAGTTGCTGGTTATTATATTTTATTGCAATAAAAATATATTTCAAAAAATATTGCTGGGTGCTGGAGGAATTCTTGATTTACCTGCAGCTAATCCCAGCCTCCCGTCACTCATCAACTCATACCAGCACTGGTCAAGCCCTGCATATCATAATGCTGTGGAGCTGAACCAAGCAAAAATAAAAGCTCCCGTTTTTCTCACCGTGAGCTACAGAGCCAGGACAAGCATTCCAAATGAGGGATACGTGGTCCCAGACAGTGGCAGTGGAAGAGAGGCTTGGGAGAAGAGGTGCACGAAGGACCCTGACACCCTCCTCGAAGTACAAAGGTCTTCCGGTGTGTCTCCTCCTCCCCTAACTCCACCCTTGGTCGTTCCCACACCTCCTCCTCCTCAGTCTTTTCGGCATAGGACCACTGCCTCATGCTGCCTTATGCAAGAAGAAAGATCAAAGGAAAGGGGGGTCACTGGAGAAAGGTTTAAACCGATATGGCACACCCTCTGCAGAGTTATCTTTTGAGCAAAAAACCCTTGTTAATTATAATGAAGGGCGGGATCAATGCATGTAATTTAGCACCTCCTTTCAAATGCCACCATTATTTGGCTTGCTTCTTAGGAGGAAGCAAGCTGATTCAGTCTTATGGAACTGCTGCAGTTTTTAATTCAGAGTGAAAAATGAGAAAACTTCAGAGAAAGGAGCCGTGTCGAATGTTTCTCGCTTGAGCGGTCAGTACCAAGTGTTTGGCTGTAGGAAACTGCTGTATTCACTGATCTATAACAAAATTGCCCTTCTGATAAGCCTCCATTTTTATCTCTTTGGGGAAGAAAAAGGCCCGATGGGATAGAGAAGATCAGATATATGCCAAGGAACGAGCAAACCGTGTGAAGGTCCCTTCCAACTCTATGGTTCAGTGATTTGCAAAAGCAATAGTGTGTTTGTCAGTGCAAGTTTACAAAATGCATTTCGGATGAGCTCTGTCACAAACTTTTAGGCTGATACTGCTGATTAAATATCATGCTCAGTCTGGTAGCCTGTAGTACGAAGGTGGTCAGTAAACATTTCTTTTAATGTACTGCTATTCTCTCCTCGCCTGAGAGTACAGCTGGATTGAAAAGTACCCTGGTCCCAGATCTGTGGAATGATTAATTCTGACCAGAGATAAAAGGCAGTTGTGTTGGCTGATCTGCAGTTTGATGACAAGCACGTGATCATAGGTATGAAAATCTGCAAGGTGTGGCTTTTGCATCAAAGGGCTCTGTAGACCAAGTCCTATGAGGAAAGGTTGAAGGAGCTGGGTATGTTTAGCCTGGAGAGGAAATGACTGGTAACCATCTTCAAATATTTGAAAGGCTGTCATATAGAGGATGATAAGAAGTTGTTTTCTGTTGCCCCAGAAGGTCGGACCAGAACCAACAGTTGAAATTAAGTCAGAAGAGTTTTTGGCTAAACATTAGGAAGAACTTCCTGACAGAGTGGTTCCTCAGTGGAACAGGCATCCTTGGAAGGTGGTGGGTTCTCCTTCTTTGGAGGTTTTCAAACAGAGGCTAGATGGCCATTGGATAGCAATGCTGATTCTGTGAACTTAGGTAGATCATGAGAGGGAGGGCAGGAAGGGTTGCCTCAGTGCTTAGTTCTCGTGGCCCTTTCTTACACGCCCAGGGAAACGCTAATCGCCACTTTGGGGTCAGGAAGCAATTTTTCTCCAGGCCAGTTTGGCCAGGGATCCTGGAGGTTTTTGTCATCTTCTGGGCATGGAGCAGCGGTCACTGCAGGTGTGGAGGGGGAGGTATTTGTGAATTGCCTACATTGTGCAGGGGGTGCACAATACTAGATGACCCTGGAGGTCCCTTCCAACTCTATGATTTTTATTCATTGCTTGGATGATAAAACGGCTGACTTTGCAATGTTCCAGTTCTTCTCAGGGGTGGAGCCTAATCTAAGCTGGGAACACATCTTGTTCTCCTAATAAGCATCTAAAGCTGCAGCCTCCACAAAGGTGACTAGAGTCTTGGACCAGCAATTGGAGGGCAATACTGGAGAGCAAATGTTCCACGTGGACCAGCAATTGGAAGGCAATACCGGAGAGCAAATGTTCCAGGTGATGTCTAAAAGAGTGGGAGTAAACTGCCAAACAGATGTCAAACATCTGGCCCACCAAAAATATCAACTTATCCACTGCCACCAGACAGGCAACAGTTTTTTGCTGTGCTGAGTGATGCAGCAAAATGTTGCCCAATTTCCCACCTGCTCTCTTGAAATCACCACAGCATACAGGTGCTTCTCCTGCTCACTTGCCTCAAGTGCCCTCTCTGGTTGGCAGGCAGGTGACCTGAACAGGTAGCAACACCACCTCTGCTATGAGTGACTGAGTTTTGCCCCTGGAGCCAACACTGCATTCACCTGCTTTCCTCCTCACCCCATTCCCACCTCTCTTTCTCCCATCCAGCTTCACCTTTTCTCCCTGTCTTGTGCATGGAGGGGCCAATTCAGTTATGATCAGTACTGTCTAATAATGCAACCAGGCATGCCCCATGGCATCAGGGGCATAAAGAAAAGGGCGGCGGGGGGGGGGGGAATCTGTAATTTAGGGAGAGTGAAACTATGAATGTGGCCCCTGGGTGTCTGTTGGGTGGGGAGTATGGCCCTTGAAGCTCAAATGGGTGAACACCCCCTGCTGTAAAAGCTCTCAGAACTGGTATCTACAGGGCCAGAAGAAAATGATAAAGGCCTCAGCCTCATAGGAGCATTAATTCTTTGGCAGGGGAATTCCTAAAGCTGTGTGCTTGGTCAGGTTCCTGGCCTCCTCTACCTGCAGAGGACTGCAGTAGTCCTCAAGGAAGATAGTGGCCAGGTTGGAGAGCCTCCTGTTGGCTGAGAGAGAGAAACGCAGCATGCACTCCACAACAGGAAGAGCAGTGATCTGCTGGCGAGACTGGGGGGTGGTCAGGTACATCAGAGTAGTAACCGCAGACACCACGGTCTCCTCATTAGAGCAAGACAGGCAGTTGATGACAGCCGCTACCCCATCGGCCTCCAAGATGTAGTCTTTGTTGACTTTGTCCAAGCATAAGTTACAAAGGCCACCTAAAGTATAATTGAATAAAAGCCTGTTAGTGAACTTGTTCTGCCTCTTGTTAACCATTTTTCTCTCATGTTTCAAGGCAAGCTGGGTCTTCAGTTCTTTCTTTATGCAGTTTCAGTGTGTTTGCAACATGTGCGTTTTAAATACGGACAGAAGTGTCTGTTAAATTCCTCTCCTCTTTTTATATGCCGCTTTGTCACACTTTTACCCAGCCCTTCCTATAAGGAATTAAGCTATTCATCCAGGATGCAAAGGAACACAGCCCCCCCCCCCATTTTAGCTACACAACCACCTGTGAGATAAGCTTTGATGAGGGCCTCGTCCTTGTCTGACACTAATCCCCATGCTGCATTATGTCTCTTATTTACCAGCATCACTGCTTCCTATTTGAGGAATCCTTACTGAAATTCTAAGCATGCTAACCAGGAAATAAGTCACTGAACCCAAAGTAAACATAGAATCATGGAATCACAGAGTTGGAAGGGGCCATACAGGCCATCTAGTCCAACCCCCTGCTCAATGCAGGATCAGCCTAGAGCATCCCTGACAAGTGTCTGTCCAGCTGCTGCTTAAAGACTGCCAGGGAGGGGGAGCTCACACCACCTCCCTAGGCAGCTGATTCCACTGCTGCACAACATTTACAGTCAAAACGTTTTTCCTAAAATCCAGCCGGTAATCTTCCCACCCTTAATTTAATCCCATTATTGCGAGTCCTACTTCCGCTACCAACAGGAACAGCTCCCTGCCCTCCTCTAAGTGACAGCCCTTCAAATACTTCAAGAGAGCAATCATGTCCCCCCTTAACCTCCTCCAGACTAAACATTCCCAACGTCTCTCAGTCTTTCCTCATAAGACTTGGTCTCCAGGCCCCCTATCATCCCTGTCACTCTTCTCCGCATGTGTTCCATTCTGTCCACATCCTTTTTGAAGTAAGGCTTGTTCATCCATAAGAACAAGCTGTTCTGTGTGAACCTTGACCATAAAGAGTGTTCCTCTAAAGGTGCATGTAAGGAAACCTCCCACTTTGGAGGGTCCTATGGGGGGATGCTAGAGTAGGCACTCGTTTTGAGTGAATACAGCTGAATGCTTGGTCAAGTGGTAACTTACAATGGGATGCATATAATCATTTGTTGAATGGGTCATCTGTATGATTCTGCCAAGTGGTGAGGAAAGTCTGCACAAGACTGGGGAATCAAGGGTGGTACGATTCTGCTCACTACCTGAAAGAACCATGCAGATGACTAGTTGATCATATAGTATATATCATACTAAGTTATCACTTGGTAAATGATTATCTGTATTAACTCTGTTGGACAGATTTCACAGAAATCATGAAATCCATGCAAAACCTGGAGAGAACTGGAAGTATCGTTTTATATACTAAAGTCTTCTGAATCAGAGAATTCAAATTCGGCAATGAGGTTGAATTGTACTCATTCCACAAATTTACAGGAATCTATATACAACTTGCAAAATGTTAGGCTTAATGGAAATTGGGCAGTATGGTAAAGGGAACACGAAGCAAGAAGCCATCTAAGGTTTCATGGGCTGGGAACTCAGGGTGTGTCTGTCCTGCAAAGTTGACAGTCTCCAAATGTTGCAATTTCAATTTATGTTTAACCATTTCGACACTGCAGCATGCATTTTACGATTACTACTAAAATGCAGTTTCATTTGCTTTTCTCTTTGAAAATGTGTATACCAGCATCACAGTACATTGCAAAGGGGGAAAGAGCTTATTAATGCTATCCTACACCAGTATTTCATACTGACCAAACTTTGACACATTGTCTTGCCTCTGAACTGATGTGGATGTCTGCTTCCAAGTATAGAGGCTGGTATCCTGGTATCCTATACCCCAGTAGCTTCTGGGAAAATCTGTATAGTGTATTGATTTAATTAAAGCTTTACCAAGTGCAAATTCCACAAGAGTGTCATTATCTTCTGTCAGCATATCCAGAAACAGGTCCAAGACCTTGAGCTGCCGGAGATAGTCATAGTTCTTGGGATCATAAGCAAAATTAGCTAGATTAGCCAGCACTTGCTCCTTGGCTTCTGCAATATAATAAAAACTGCCACTGAGATGAAGAAAGAAGCAACTGAACTAGGCAAGGCATCTGTAAACACAGAGAAAAAGTAGCTAAAAGCCAATTAAGATATACTCACCAGAACTTTCTGTTACTTGGAATTCTGTAACTAGGGCTTGCAGGTATTCAAGCCGACCCAGTCCTAGCAGATCCTGCTGTTTTTGGGACATGATGCTGGAGAAAAAGGCAGTGCTTCATAGGGTATATACCATTATAAGATGGCTGAAAAGTTCTAACAGTGTAAGATTTCTGCTTCATTTTCTTTCCCTGGTGTTTAACAAAATACATACAAAATCTTTAACGAAATTATATACAGTGGTATTACTACACAGCTAAAATCATATTAAGAAGAAGAAGAGATTGGATTTATACCCCGCCCTTCACTTGGAGTCTCAGAGCAGCTTACAATCTCCTTCCTTTCCTCTCCCCACAACAGCCACCCTGTGAGGTAGGTGGGGCTGAGAGAGCTCTGAAAGAACTCTTGAGAGAACAGCTCTGAGAGAACTGTGGCTTGCCCAAGGTCACACCAGCAGCTGCATGTGGAGGAGTGGGGAATCAAATCCAGTTCTCCCAGATTAGAGTCTGTGCTCCTAACCGCCACACCAAATTCTGAAACAAACTAACATGCCCGCTGTTATGAAAACAGGGCAGTACTTACACCATGCTTAATACTAGCCCTGTAAAACACATTTCAAATGAAGTAGTGCACACTTGCCTTGGGTGATGATTCTTTATATCACGCAAAATTGGGGACGGCAATTAACACATGCAAAAATGTCTCATAGCTAAAAATGAACATGGCCAGTTCTTATATAGAAATAAAGGGTTTCCAATATTTATTTATTTATCTATTTGTTTCCATTTTTATCCCGCCTTGCCACAGAACTGGCTCAAGGCGGCTAACAACATTAATACACTAAAACAATAAATACATTAAAATACAATGAAATATACAACAAAGCCTAAGCAACTAAACGGTACTAGTGATAAAGATGGCAGTGTATAATATGCAAAGGCAATAACCAGTTGGTGTTTCATGCTGGCCAAGATGTACTCCGGCGGCGCATTCATCAGAGGCACATTTGCCAGTGGCCCACTCATCAGTACAAAATACTTCTTGGAAATTGCTTACAACTGAGGTATAAAATCAATTGTGAGTTGAAGCAACCTAGTAGCTAAGTGGTCATGGTTCAAATCTCATCTCTGCTATGATTTAATAGGTGGCCATAGCCAAGTCATGCATTCTCTCTCTCCTTCAGCCTTAACTCCCATCTCCACTTTGTCACTAATAACACTAGCCTCTCTCTACAAGGCTAATGTAAAGTTTACAACAAGCTAATGTACTTCTGAGGCACTCAGAACTGTGTAACATGCTATACAAGGAATCAAGCACCACATCTTCATTAGGTACAAAACCAATGCAGACACCTTTAAGATGAAGTCTCCAAAGATCACGACACTGTCACCTGAAGTATTTTCCTGGGTCACAAACAAAAAACTTTTTAAACTTTTAGCTTTGAAATGATGCAATGTTTTTGAAATGTAGTGGGAGAACTTCCTTTGTTAAAATATTAACGGAGATGCTTCTTGCACTGAAAGAACTGTCTTTATTCCACAATATCCCACCCACAGCCTCAAAACATCAGAGAGACTGTGAGAAGCGCAAGTAGCTCGTGCCAAGGTCCTTCCGGCTCTCCCATTGATCAAAGAAGCCGCGACAAAAAACCTCTTCCCCTCCTTTCCGTTTTCAATCACTTGTGGGGGTCCTTGGTTACATCTCCGTGCAATAGTGCCACTTGAGTGGGCGGAAGGGTGGGATGCCCTTACCTGATGTCTTGCCTCCCGCCTCGGTCATGGCACCAAGCTCCATCGTCTCCAGAGGCTGCAGCCCATCCTAGCACAAAGGAACCTGCCTCTAGGAACCCATTCAGAGTAGCTTTGTTGCAACACGAGCAGTTTAATGTAATACACCCGGATGTAGAGACGGGCTACAGAGATAAGCGCCTTAATAGCTTAATCCAACATCGACTGGAGGAGTTTGGGAAGAGGACAGGAAGTGAGGGAGCGAGAAAAGGATACCTACACATGTTCCTTTGCGTGTACATAGCGTTCGGAACTGTTACATACTAGACGAAGCAACAGGAGCAATTCCAGATTTAATTTGCGGGGCAAATAATGAGGGCAATGTACATATGGAGGGCGCGGGCGCCACAGATAACAGCTTTTTCCCTAGGTCTATTTTCATAGAAATCTCAAAAATAACGTAAATAAATAATTCTATTACTAAATAAGATGGGTAGCCGTGATACTCTGTCTGTAGCAGTAGAAAAGAGCAAGCGTCTAGTACCTTTAAAGACAAGCAAAATTTGTGGCAGGGGATGAGCTTTGGTGAGTCACTGACGTCTGAAGAAGTGAGCAGTGACTCACGAAAGCTCATATCTCGCTACAAATTTTGTTAGTCTTTAAGGTGCGTTTGTTACTGTCCATGGGGTTTTCTTGGCAAAAATATTGGGAGTGGGTTGCCAGCTACTGGACTCTTGCTCTTTTCTAGTACCGAACAGAGACCTTACGATCTAGGTTTGGTAACTATAATAAACCCCAGAGTGTTTGAGGTGTCACAAAACTATTCTTTTACAAATCGCGCGCATTCTGTTTTTGACGAGAGAGAGAATAAATCTATACAAATATACCTTCTTTCAGGATACGGCATCGCAAGCATCCATACATATCAATGCATATACCTTCCTTTCAAGGTACGGAACGATGGTGCCGTAGAGTGCAGAACCCGAGGTGGCCTTTTTAAAGGACACCGTGCGCACGCTGCTTTATGCTCCCCCGCTGCACGACGGCTTTAGCCGGCGCAGGCGCAGAACGAAAAACAAACGGGGGAATTGGTTATTTCCTCGTTTCTCACCCCCGGCCCATCATGTCTGCTCTGTGCGATCCCTCGGGGGTTGTTGGTCCTCCAGGGTCCGCCCCCAGCCCGAAACCAGCAGCCGCCCCGCCGTCGCTCAGGTATTCCCGCCAACTGGGAACTGGGAACTGGGACCCACCCTCCAAGATTGGGTCTGGAGATGGTCCGCAGGCTGGAGCCTGTGGCTAGGAGCTCGGGCGATTGGGGTGGGGAGAGAAAGAATTAGACTTTATTGCTGTTGCTTTATTCCAGCAAAGTGGGTTATTCATAACAATGTATTATATATGTTGGAACATTTTTATGCCGCCTCTCCAGGAACTTGCCCGATCATTATTAATACATTTTATTTTGTATTAATCATTTCAGCTACGGATCCCTTCCCTGAGGAATATGTTTAATATTAACCATCGTTTGGATTGGCTTTTTGGTTCCTGTAGGATCCAGGTTTTTCTGGGTGGAAAGCAGGATAAAAGATGGAACAAAATGTTAATCCATGGGTGGGTAGATCGACAGATCTTGGAAGCTAAGCAGGGTCAGCCCTGGTTAGTGTTTGGATGGGAGACCTCCAAGGAATACCTGGGTCATGATGGAGAGGCAGGCAATGGCAAACCACCTCTGAATGTCTCTTGCCTTGAAAACCTCACAGGGTCACCATAAGTCAACTGTGGTTTGACGGCACTTTCCACCACCATCATGTTAAAATTCCTTCAGTGGAAGGACCCCTTCACCCTTTGGCAAGAACAGTCGCCCCCTCTTGCCTTGACTACTCCAGCGGTTTCAGTGGTGGATGTATCATTGTATCTTTTTCTTTGACACTTTGTTAGTTCTTAATTTTTCTTTTCTGTCTAGTTTGGTGTTGAAACAGCACCCTGTGCACTTCATAAAATAAGTGAAAAAATCCCACCCAGAAGAGCTTGCTATTGGCATTACAGTGGGGGGGGGAGGCAACCGAAGGAAGGGCCTTCTCAATCATTGTTATTTAATATCCTAAATGTGCCTACTGTTTTTACAGCATAGTAGTAAGACCACAGGTCTCTGCCCCAAGGAACTTACGCACTAGAACTAATGGATATATGGGGAGCAACGGTTAGGGGGAGAAGAAGATGAGGGCCGAAGGGAAATGTGGGGTGAACATGGTTAATTTCAGGAGAGTTGTGCCAAATGTTTTACAACAAAACCATGATGTTTCAGGAAGAGTTTGAAGGAAGGAAGTGGGGGTGGGGCTGTGGCTCACTGGCAGAGCATCTGCTTGGCAGGCAGAACGCTCAGTCCCCAGCATCTCCAGTCACAAGGATCAGGTAGATGGTGATGAGAAAGACTTTAGCCTGAGATCCCGGAGAGCCGCTGCTGGTTTGAGTAGACAATAGTGACTTTGATGGACCAAGGGTCTGATTCAGTGTAAGGCAGCTTCATGTGCTCCTCATGCAAGGGTCCCAAGAAGTTGTTGGAAGTATATACAGGAGCAAGTGCAGAGCTCTTTGAAGGAACAGGAGGGTGGTGGAACTGGAGGAGAGATGGTTGCAGATTATGGGGACATAAATGCGAGGATTAGGAAATGCCGTAGGCTTCTTGAGAGGAAAATATACTTCTTTTTCTGGGAGCAGGCAGGAAACTTCTGGTGCACTTTAAGGAAGGGTGTCACAAAAGTCAATGGCTTTGTGGCCGGAGCACAGGGTAGAGATGAGAAGGCTGACATATGGCAACAGAAGAGCAGAGAGATCGCAGTCTTATTTGCCCTCTTCTGAATAGGGAAGTGACTTGGCAACTGGCTGGATATGGGGAGTGAAGGGGAGGGGCCCCCTAAAATGAGACCATAGCTTCGTATCCATTCTGCAGTGCACATGGTGGCACTATAGATAGGTATGGGAGAATATACCAGGAGAGGGATGCTTAAGAGGAAAGATGAGGAGCTTGGTCTTGGAAATACTGATTTTTGAGGCAGTAGAAGTCTGATACTTTTGTGTGTGGAGGGGGGAACCTGGGGGGTCAAGAAGCAGAGCAGGGTGCCAACAGCAGAAGCTAATGGAATGGTTTCTAGAACCTGGCATTTCCAGGTGACAGGCCCTGGGCAGGCTGTTTCTATCCCTGGCACGGAGCGCCTACTTTGTATCTACAATCTGCTGGTTGTAGGCTGTGTGGAGATTGGAGCCGACCTACACCCTTTCAGCAGGGGAGGTGCCTGCCCTTTGCTCCTTGACGCTTTGGTAGTTCTGCCTTGGGCTGGAAGCTGTGCTGGACTTCAGAACTTTAGGGGTTTAGAAGCCGTGCTGGACTTTAGACTAAAGCAGCACATGGCTTTGATGCATCCTGAAGGGCTTAAAATATGAGACTCTGTTCTTCAGAGATGGAAGGAGACACCTCGGAAGCGGACTTTTGGCTCTGAGCTTATGAATCGGCCCTGTCTTTAAAATCCCTTCCTGGAATAGTGTTTGGCCCAGTAGAAATCATTAAGCTAAGGGCTTGCCAGAAATCTTGGGGGAACATGATGGAAGCATTCCACACCCACCTGTGCATGCGCTGTCTCTTTCTCTCTGGTTTTCGAACCTCTCAGGACCTTGAGCAGACATATTTCTCTTATTCCACCACCCCCACCCTTTAGCTGGTGCTTTGCTACTTTCAACATTCTGTAGGTTTTTATACCCCACTTTTCTCTATCCGAAGGGGTCTCAGAGCAGCTTACAATCCCCTTCCCTTCTTCTACCCACAACAGGCACCTTGTGAGGCAGGTGGGGCTGAGAGAGGCCTCTTGGTAGCTCTTGCTAGGCAGAGTGACTGTGGTGTAGTGGCCAAAACAGCAAGCCTGGCAGTCCCTAGGTTGAACTCGTTGTAATCAGTGTTCCCTCTAAGCTGAGTTAGTGTGAGCTAGCTTACAGTTTTTTAGCCTCTGGCTCACACATTTTTGTCTCAGCTCAGTAAGGATGGCTTTGGAGCAAACTAATTCATGCAGTACCCAAATCACTTGCTCACAACTTTAATGCCAGTCGCTCATAAAGTAGAATTTTTGCTCACAAGACTCCACATCTTAGAGGGAACATTGGTTGTAATCCTCACAATCCCCCTCCCCCAAACAGGATATGTGGAGCCATTTCTGGCTGCTGCAGGAAGGAGGAGGAGCTGTGGATTTGTTTTTTCACCTGCAGATATTGTTGGATCTACCCTGTTCTCTTACACGAGTGGAGGGACTGTGAGGACTCATGCGTGAGGGAAGTAAACAATTGGGAAATCTTCCCTGTACTGAAATAATGTGAGGCAGCTGGGATCTGGGTCAATAGCTATCTGTCCTATTAGCCATGAACCTTGGCCACGAAGTGCTGTGATTCCATTTCCCTGCATGCTGAGGGCCAGGCCTGGGGGAGCAGGAAAGTACTTACCTGATTTAAAGCTGAGAAGTAGTATACTGAGGGAGGGGGGGGATTTTCCCTCTCCTCCTGGTGATTCCTTGCAGGCCTCCAACTTTATGCCCTCTGTTACCAAACGATTGGCCCTGGGTGATATCATTTATTTCTTTAATCCACATAAAGCGGGGTGCTAAAGTGGCTGACATTGCTGCCTTCTCCCATTTTATCCTCACAACAGCCCTGTGAGGTAGATTAGGTTGAGAATATGTGGCTGGCCTGAGGTCAGTCAGTGGCAAAGTGAAGGTTCAAACCTGAGAAGATTGTTATTATTATTACGTTTCCCTTTAAAAAACTTTCACCTGTGAATAATGAAGTGGTGGTGTAATGTGCCGTAAACTTCCAGCTGACGTAATGGCGATCCCTCATGGGGTTTTCAAGGCAAGAGATGTTGAGAGATGGTTTGCTGTTTCCTGACTCTGCATAGCAACCCTGGGCTTCCTTGGCGGCCTCCCATCCAAGTACTGACCAGGGCCGATCCGGCTTAGCTTCTGAGATCTGACAAAACTGGGCCAGCCTGGACCGTCTAGGTTTAGCCAGTTTGGTATAGTGATTAAGTTTGTGGACTGTAATCCGGGAGAACCGGGTTTGATCCCCCACTTCTCTACTTGCCGCTGCTGGATGACCTTGTGCAAGCCATAATTCTGACAAGAGCTGTCCTTGAAAGGGCAGTTCTCTCAGAGTTCTCTCAGCCCCACCTACCTCACAGGGTGTCTGTTGTGGGGAGGGGAAGGGAAAGGAGTGTGTAAGCCGCCCTGAGACTCCCGAGTGAAGGGCGGGGTATAAATCCAATCCCTTCTTCTTCATCTAGGTCAGGACTTCCCTTATCGTACTTCATTGGAAAGTTTGGTATGGGGAGAATTGGGATTTGGAAATGGATGCCTCGTGTCATTCAGCTCCCCAAACTGCATTTTACCTCTCCAGGATACTGTAAAGGGCTCAATTAGACCAATTTTCCATCCCTTTTGTGCTCCCCCTTCACTGGTAATTGATGTTCAGTTGCCCTCAACATTCCCTGCAACAAGCATGGTCAGTTCTCATCAGTCTGGAGGGTTTGTTTTTGAGAGGCTGGATCACTTTTGTAAAATCTACAAACTAATATTTTCTCCATGCCGAAGGAGAACTTATGTAGAAATCTTTTCTTTGTGGGCGGACCTGTTTCACTGTTCTGTTGATACGATGGATCCACCAAATTTGTTGATGAGAGAGAGTGACTTCCTTCTTAGTGAGTTGATGGCAGGGTTGATAATCAGAGAGGAGATTTTGTTATGTCACTCAATCTCTAAGTCACGACATTTTACACTAGTTGGTCGATATTATAAGGTGGTTTTGGGGATTGTGGAGGTTATATATGAAGAACTTTGCACACTTGAAACATGTATTAGAAAATGCTGGTGTAATTATTTAATCTGGGGTGGTAGAGCTCACCAGCAGCCCTAGGATATAGTTTATCTTTAAAAAATACACCCTCGTTTTTAAACTATGCTTTGCAAATACAAATGCTTAATCTCCATATCTTTAACGTGGGCACCATTTTTAAAAAGTAATTTTATTTATCTGCATTATTCATAGTTCACCTTACAGGGACTCAAGGTGGATTACACAGAGTGAGACATCCAATTAACAGTGCACTAGGCTTGTAGAAGTCTGGAACCAGCCAGGAAGAACTGAAGCGTACCATAAGTATTCACATGACACATTAAGTGGTGCAAAAATTACATAACAGGAAACTGGACACAGCAGTGTAGACCACAGCCAGTAATTTATCCAAGTAGGTTTGTAAACCATTTTGTACAGTGCAGTCCTGTTACCTGGGTAAGAAGCCCCCCTTGCATAATTCAGTTTTGCACAGGATGTGGGAAGAAGAAGAAGAGATTGGATTTAGACCCCACGCTTCACTACCTGGAGTGGCTTACCATCTCCTTTCCCTTCCCCTTCCCACAGCAAACACCCTGTGAGGTAGGTGGGACTGAGAGAGCCTTTTTGGGGACTGCTCATGAGAGAGCAGCTCTGAAAGAACTTGTGACTGACCCAGCTGCATGTGGAGGAGTGGGAAACCAAACCCAGTTCTCCCAGCTTAGAGTCTGTGCTCCTATCCACTACACCAAAGCCAGGAGAGTGGGAGTCTTTCTGACTTTCTTGGGCAGGCTGTTCCTTAAGGTGGGAGGCACAACAGAAAAAGCTCATGTACGGGCAGGAGTTGATTCTGCCCATTTGCAGGTTGTCACCTGCAGAAGTCCCTGCTCAGATGAAGGAAGTTGTCGTGGCAGGGTAAGGGGGTGATGGTGTTTCAACAGATAAGAGGGACCAAAGCCATGAAGGGCTTTGTATGTGATATCCAATGCCTTGAACCGAGCCTGGTTAAAAACAGGCAGCCAGTGGAACATCTGCAGAATGGGAGTAATATGCACGCTCCTTCTAGTTCCCGATACTAGCTGAGCTGTGGCGTCGTGCACCGACTTGAGTTTCCGAGTTGATTTTGAGGCAAGACCAACGTACAGTGAATTCCACGTGTTGTTATGGGTTCCTGCCCCTAGCCTTGGTTGTGACACCTTTGGTAATAAAGTGTATAAAAAGCCAAAAATCCAAAGAAATTAACTGAGGAGGGGGCACTATTTCCCACCTTAATTTTGTCCTCGTGCCTGTTTCAGGGGGTGGGGTGTCAAGTAAAGCTCAGTTTTTGTGTGTGCATCTTTGCTCATGATATGGGTTTCGATGCTATTCCTTTTTCCTCCAAAGCGTGTGACAATTGCTTTGCTGGACTGTACCAAAGCTGGCGGAGTCCAGCCAGATGCCACAGGCATTCTGCAAAGATGGAGGCCATCCTTTCCTGCCGGCATCTGCCGCACATTGGGGGGAGGTCCACAGCTGTCAGTAGACCCCTTTTACACGACCTTGCCCCATCCTTTCCCAAGAGCTCCTTCAGAAAGTTACCCTCGCCTCCCCTTGTGACAGCGCATTCCATAAACCACCAATGCATAAAAGAAGTGCTTCCTTCTTACAGAGAGTCAGTGTGGTGTAGTGTTTAGAGTGTCAGACTAGGAGCTGGGAGTAAAAGGTAAAGGTTCCCTTGCTCGAAAGCCAGTCGAATCCGACTCTGGGGTTGCAGTGCTCATCTCCGTTTCAAAGCCGAAGAGCCAGCACTGTCCGAAGACGTTTCCGTGGTCATGTGGCCGGCATGACTAAACACCAAGGCGCACAGAACACTGTTACCTTCCCACCAAAGCAGTACCTATTTATCTACTTGCAATTTGTTGCTTTCGAACTGCTAGGTTGGCAGGAGCTGGAATTAGAGACGGGCGCTCACTCCGTCATGCGGCAACTCAGGTCTCGAACTGCTGAACTACCGACCTTCCACAGCCTGCAGTTCAGCGTCTTAACCACTTGGGAGACCGTTGTCCAAATTCCCACTCTGCCCATGGGAGCTCGCTAGGTTATCCTGGCCTGTCATTCTCTCAGCCTAACCTGCCTTATAGGGTTGTTGTCAGGATAAAATGGAAAAGGGGAGAAAGGTGTTGCAGCAAGCTGCTTTGGACCCCCACTGGGGAGAAAGGCAGGGTAAAATGGACTAAATGCATTTTTAGAAAGGAGTTTATTTCTTTGTCCTCTTTCCCAGCAGCTCCGTGATGGCGGCTGTTGCTTGCTTAGCTCTTTTGTTGGGGGTCGTCTGTGCCGTGGACAGAAGCAACTTCAAGACCTGTGACCAGAGCTCCTTTTGCAAGTAAGTTCCATATTCCATTTTAAGAACATTTTAACAAATTTTAGATAGGTCCAGGTAGTCAGCCATGTTGGTCTGAAGCAGTAGAACAAGTTTAGAGTCTAGTGGCACCTTTAAGACCAACAGAGTTTTATTCAAGGTATGAGCTTTTGTGTGCATGCACACTTTAAAAAAAAAACAAAAAACTTGAACAAAACTTTGTTGGTCTTAAAGGTGCCACTGAACTCTACATTTGTCAACAAATGTTAGAGTTTTAGAGCTCTTCCATCATGCCCTGAAACATCTCCTGCTTCCAACTCCCCCCCTTTAGTGTACAAAATGTCCTGCATGAAGAAGAGTTTTGTGGAACTCAAAAACTATGGATAAACATATGGAGCAGAGGTCCATCAGTGGCTATTAGCCACAAGGTATAGATGGAACACTCTGTCTGGGGCAGTGATGCTCTTTCGTCTTGGTGCTTGGGGGGCAAGAGTGGGAGGGTTACTGGAATTCTGGCCCCACTGGTGGACCTCCTGATAGCCCCTGGCTTTGGGCCACTGTGTGACACAGAGTGTTGGACTGGATGGGCCACTGCCCTGGTCCAACATGGCTTCCCTTATTTTCCTACTTGCACTTGACTCTTTGATTGTTTAGCTCAGGGCTTCCCGACGTGGTGCTTGTAGGTGCCATGGCAGCTGCTGACACCTCCTCTGGACCCTGCTAAGGGATTTTAGGAAGTGGGTGGGGCCAGGTAGGTCTTTTGCCCAGCAGGGCTTCTGATTGGCTATTGGAGATTTGATTGGACGTGCAGCTTTTAAAAAAAGTATTGCTTTGTCAGCAGCTGCCACTAGAGCATACGGATCTGCACTGTGTTATTGAAATGAAGCTGCGGCAGTTTATTTTATTTATTTATTCGATTTATATCCCGCCCGCCCTGCGAACGAGCTCAGGGCAGCTCACAATTGGCACAATCATTTTGTGACTGGCTCCACCTCCTTTGGCAGCCATTTTGTTGCTACCCCCACCATGCCCTGTCACGATTCCAAATGTGCCTGCAGTCTTTAAAAGGTTGGGGACCCCTGGTCTTAGCTGGTCCTAATTAAAGGTATTGTGTTGCCCCTTTTGGGTGTCTTTTATTCTAATGGACCCACAGAAGCTGCCTGCAGCTTTTTGATTCAGTCCTGAGGAAGAGCTGAAAGAGATTTGTCCTTTGGTGCAAAGAGAACCTGGGACTTTTCCCTGGGGGCTAATGAGATCAAGACAAATAACCTGATGCTCTCCTGAGGCAGGGAGAATGGTGCTGTTTCTTTTTCCTCCTTTCTTTTGTGCCTAACCGTGATTGGCCTTCTCAGGCGCCAGAGGAATGTGAAGCCTGGAAACTCGCCTTACAGGGCCCTGCTGGATTCGTTGCAGCTCAGCCAGGATTCCATGAAGATCCAGCTTGTCAATGAAGCCAACAAGGTAAATCGAAGGGCTGAGCTCATGCGGGGGATCAAACAAGTCACGTATGTGCACCTGCACGCATAGCCTAGCCTGCCTCGCAGGGTTGTTGTGAGGATAAAATGAGCGAGCACCTCCATACCCCTCCACCTTGAGCTTTTTGGAGGACAGGTGAGGTAGACGTGTAATAATGAATCTACTGATGACAGTGGAGTTAAGCAAATCTTAGGCTTGGTTCAGACAAGGAGTGGATCAGGTGGTAAACTCTTGAGTGTGAATTGTATTGCTTCAAACTGCAGGGGGGGTTGTCATGAGGCGGAAGGTTTCCTCGTATAAGATGGCCTGCAGAGAGAGAACTAGGTGTCAGGGAGAAAGGGTTGAATTTTCCCCTCCACATAAATGTGTTCCATCTGTGCAATTTCCCCAGCTTCAAAGGTTTACCACCTGTTCCTGTTGTTCTTGTGAGGTAGGTCTTAGCGCTTTGCTGGATCATAGCCTTTGAATTGTGTGGAAAGCCATAACCAATTGTTTCCAATAACAATTTATCAAATTCTGACAAAATTAGGGGTGTTTGTGTGTTTGAACGATAAAACTGCCCCCCCAAGTGCTTGGTGAAACACAGATTTTCCCTTTGTTCTCTGACTCTAGGTGCCTCTCCTGCTCGAAATCTATGGCTTGAAAGGGAACATGACCCGCATCCGGATCAATGAGCTGAACCTGCTTAAACCCCGCTACGAGGTACCGGATGTGTTAGTTGGGGACCCACCTACTACCAGGTATGCCCATGAAGAGGGGTGTGTGCATCCCCATGCAATAAGGCCCACTCATTACGGGGGGGGGGGGATAGAAGGAAAGTTTGCTAGGCAGCTGTTTTTTGTTGGTGGGATTTTTATTTTGCTTTTCAGCTGAAGACGCGTGCCCGAAACAGCTGTTGGCACTTCAATGCAAATTAAAATGCAGTAGGAAATGCTGGTTTAAAGAGTGGGGGATGCTGCCTCCTGCTGGATCCAGGCATGACAGAAAGGCTGCTGTCTTTCTCTTTGCAGTTGAGGGGCTCAGCTCTCCAGGGGGTCCAGCACCCTCTTTCTTACTTCCCCCCCTGTGCTTAGTGGCTCAACTGGTTGGGGGAAGAAGATAGTGCCCGGGGGTGCTGAGTCAAGCAATAACACATTGGCACATCACAGATTGAAGATTGCCATAGAAAGGGATAACCAATGCCAGGCGAGTATGGCTGAGTACATTGTACATCCTTAGTACATTGCTTTCCCCAACCTGTGTCTTGGTCCTGGTTAGCAAGAGGTAGCTGTTTGGGTACCAGGAAGAAGAAGAAATGATTGGATTTATACCCCACCCTTCACTACCTGAAGGAGTCTCAGAGCAGTTTACAATCTCCTTCCCTTCCCCTTCCCACATCAGACACCTTGTGAGGTAGGTTGGACTCTTTCCAGAACTGCTCCTGAGAGAACAGCTCTGAAAGAACTTGTGACTGACCCAAGGTCAGACCAGCAGCTGCACGTGGAGGAGTGGAGAATCAAACCTGGTTCTCCTAGATTGAGAGTCCGTGCTCCTAACCACAACACCAAACTGGGATATCGGATGGTGTTGTGTATTACTGCAGTCTCATCTTAGCCCTCTGTTCAAAATATGTGATCTGCAGGAGATCTCTCATTTGGTCATTGGAACCTGCGGTTAAAGGCACCTCTGGTTGCAGAACTGGGGGAGATGTCTGCTTGCGGTTCTGGAGAACTTCTGCCTGTCAGGGTAGACTGTATTGAGAGAGAGGGGAACTGTTAGCTTGTGACAGGAGAGGGAAGCTAGGAGATTGTCTTGTCTTGCATGCCGACACCTAAGCTATTTTATGCAGAATCAGACCTTTTGTCTATCAAAGTCAGTCTCGTCTAGTCTGACTGGCAGGAGCTCTCCAGGGTCTCAAGCTGCGGGCCTTCACTTCATGTACTCCCCGATCCTTTCAGTTGGAGATGCTGGGGATTGAATAGGGGGCCATTGCATTGAAAACAGATGCTCTCTGAGCCAGTTTGGTGTTGTGCCAGTTTGGTGTAGTAGTTAAAAGCGGCAGGACTCTAATCTGGAGAACCAGGTTTGATCCCCCACTCCTCCACATGAAACCTGCTGGGTGACCTTGGTTCAGTCACAGTGCTCTTAGAACTCTCTCAGCCCCCCTACCTCACAGGGTGTCTGTTGTGGGGAGAGGAAAGGAAGGTGATCGTGAGTCACTCCAAGACTTCTTTGGGTAGCAAAGGGCGAGGTATAGTAAATCCAATCTTCTCTTCTTCTCTCCCACTGAGCCACAACCCAGCAGGTGGACTTCAATTAATGATTAATTGACTGGGGTGGGGGGGGACAAGTGAAAGACCACTCTTTCAAGCAGCAGAGCAGTTGAACACCTGGGTGAGAAAAGATCCTTGTCTTCTCCAAGGAAAAAGCGTGCATTTGTCCACAAAAGTTCCCGCCACACTAAATCTAATCGTCTTTAAGGTGCCACAGGTCCCTGTGCTATCTCCCCTACCCCCGTAACATTTGTTTACTCATCCCCGCCCTGCTGTTTCTTCTCCTGCTCCTAAGGTTATCAGTCATGGGTCGGGACGACAACAGCGTGGAGCTGTCCTTGGGCGAGGGGGCCCACAAGCTCATACTGACGGCCAAGCCATTCCGCATGGACTTGCTGGAGGGGCGGGATCTCGTGCTGAGCGTCAACTCCCGGGGGCTGCTGGTCTTTGAGCACCTGCGCCTAAAGAAGGACTCGTGAGTACCCGGGCAGCTTGCTTCAGGATGGGATGACTCTTCCTGCTCATAGCTAGTTACCTGTCTCTCTCCAAGTCGAACTTAGGGGGTGAGGCCGGTGGTGGTTGTTCACCTTCCTTTCTTAAGTTGGAGGGGAGCCTGCTGCTAATGTGGGCTGGGCGGTAGGGGTCTTAAGACATTTGGGTTAGCAATAATGGCGCTCACCCTTCTAGAGAAGGTGGCTGACCCAGCCTCTGTAATCCACTTACTGTCTCCACAGAGGCCAGCCTTACCATTCCGGAAGAGAAGGTATTTTATGTAAGGCTGGAGCACCAACGTTTGGGAAGGGGAGGATGACCTTTCCTTTTAGCTGCAGTCCCCTTATCCTCCAGTAGAGGGTGCTGCTGTCAATGACACACTCAGCTACTTTGTTCCATGCAAAGGGGCAGTGCTGAAGAGTCCCTGCCCATGGAAATATCAGTGAGCACTTGAAGCAGGGGTTGGGCTTTGGGGGGAGTCCAGTCCCACTCTCCCACCAACAAGGGACGTCATAGTATCAGTCTAAGATTGTGTAAGAGCAAGCAATTGAACCAGCTGACAGTACTCTGTAAGCTTTCTCCTTTGGGCGTGGGGCTGGGTTTTGTTTTCCAGGGGCGAGAGCTTTAGGTTGTTGGGGAAGCTATCGCTTTAGGAAAGCAGCAGGCTGTTCACATAGGAACGGCCAGTGGGGGGGAAGGGTGCTGGTCTGCTATCCTGCCATCCTTCTGCCCTATTCCCCTCCCTCCCAAATCCACATGGTGCCGGGCAGGAATGGGGCCGGCAGGGGTCGCGGTGTCTCTACGATTCCGTGCACTGACTCTCGTTGTTGTTTTCTGTTTTTGTTGGTTCGTGCCTCCCCTCCTGCTCGCCCCCCCAGTTTCTCGGATAAAGTTAGTAGCACGGTCGTTAGCATGTGGGATAGGATCAAGAACCTTTTCTCTAGGTAAATCTGCAGCTTCTGCTACTGTTTCTGAATCCTTCCCCCTCCTTTTCCCTTCTGCCGAGACAGTGGTTCCCCCTTCCCCTACTTACTCAAATAGCTTGGGAGTTTTTTTCTCTTTCTCTCCCTGTGCCTGGATTTAGGCATTCCGGGCTTATGTTTTTGTTTTGCTGCCTTCCCGAATCCAGGGGGGAGGGGGTGACCTTGAACGCTGATGTCTGCTAGGTTATCCTGTTCTTTGTGGGTCAATCTGTGTCAATTTACAGAAATAATAATCATTCCTTGAGGCCCAGGACTGTAAATAACAGCTCTGGGGAGCAGCCAAGTGCAAACAGTATTTGTTGGAAACGATCCAGCTACAGGGAAGAATTTTGTGCAGCACGCTGATGTTGGAAGAGCAGTTAAGCTCTCTTGGATTAAAAACACAGCACATGCTTAGCGCTGGCTGGATCATGTCCGTGGTCAGCGTGACCTGCATCTCTGTGGTGGAGGGTGTTGGAATTTGCTTGGCTGTGATCTGTTCCACAAAACGCATTGGATCATGTGGATCTGTTCCTCTAACAGTGGTGCCTTTCCCCAACATAAGAGGTATGTCTTGCGCTGCTGTTAGAGCGAATGATCTACAGAATTCAACTCATTCTGGTTTTTCCTGGTAAACGTTTAAGTGTGTTTTTGTGATTTTAAAGTATGCACCAAGAACGTGTGAATGCAAATAAACCAAGTGTGTTATACACTCAAGAGAATCAGGGTAGGCTCCACCTCCACAGAACATCAGTGATACAAACACGTAATATGGAGGAAGGGCTTGTGATCGAGGCCACAGGCTGTGGTAATTTTAAGAATCTTGACACTGGCACAGTTCTGGCAGTACGACTAACCATGGTTTGCATTACTGATGGGGCTGGTTCAAACCACGGTTTGCTGTTCCATAAATAAACCCGGGGAATTCTTTTTTTTGTTATAGATTTTTTATTATTTTTCAAAATAACTTCTACAAAGCAGTTTTCAAACAACCCGGGGAAATTCTTGAGCTTGCATGCTACCCTGCTGCACGTGTCCAGTTAGTAAATCATATTCAGCTATTCCGCTTGCAAACCTGGCGGAGTTTTGATCCTGGAGTCGTGATTTGTGTGAAAATCACAAACAATAGTTCCCCTATTTGGATACAATGTGGAAATTCTGTGTTGTACGTGGAAGTACTGTATTAACTGGCCATGGGGACTGTATTAACTGGGCGTGGGGAAACTCTGCAAGCCCAGCCCAAGGATGACCCTTGTTGATTTGCTTAATTTCGAGTTGCAGTTCAAAGCCCAAACCATGGTTTGAACTTCCAGACTAGGCAAACCCTGGTTTTGAGCCCCTTGTTTGCCCTCAGCTCAGCCATTCCCATTTCTATGGGACCACAGCCTTTAGAGGCAGAGCAGCGTCCTCAACTGTGGTTTGTTAACGTGGGCATAATGTCAAACCACAGTTAGCACATGGTTTCTGGACTCTGGTAGGCTGGCCAGCTGTAAAAGCTGGCTTCTTGGTTTGGATGGATCGCACCAAGCCACGGTTACGCTGCCTCAAAGCCATGGTTTGATGTGATGTATGAGCTGATCCTTCAGAAGGCATTTAGAGCCAGAACCAAAGCCCGCACGTGTAGCAGACAAAGGCTCATGGGACATCTTGCTTGCACAGAGCATTTCCGGGTTTAAAACGTTGGAATTCTCCGATGCAGCGTTTTGTGGAAACACCCCGGGCCAGTGGGTATTAAAAAACTGGTACAGAATATTTCTTAACCAAGAGCTTGCAAGGCCTGGCGGACATCGGCTTGGTGGTGGAAGCTTGGGTGAGGGCTGTGCGGGAACAGCATGCCCCATGCAGGAGGGTAGCGGCCACGAGCGAACCTTTCGGCCTCTTGCAGGAAAAGCACGAGCTGGTGGGTCACTTGCTGCGGTTTCCACTTTTTCTTTCCCGCAGCCCTCGGGCCAGAGGAGAGCTGGTGTCCTTGCAATTCCCTGTTAAAGCCCCCCAGCACAACTCGTTTCTCCAGTTGTCCTAATTCTAGCCAGGGCTCTGTGGATTCTCTGCAAAGAAAGCGGCTGGATACAGCGTTCCTGAGAATGTATTACGATTGCACATTTCTAGCCCTTATGGCTGCAAAGAGAAGCTTCGAAGGTGTACTGTGTGGTGCCTGGTAAAGTCTCCGAAGCCACAAGCTGGGCTCAGAAGAGCTTTGATGCCCTTTGTGATACTGTGCTGCAGGCAGCAGAAGCAGAATGCATCAAGCCCAGACAGCAAATTTGTGTCATAAGCACCGATGACAGATGTTAATTTCTGTCAGCTGGGAATGTGCTTTCCTATGGTGCTTAAAGTCCACAGAACCCTGAAAAGTTGTAGCGGAGGAACAGGCACAGCTAAGATTACTTCTCTGCCAGAGTTTGATGCCTGAAGCCCCGTCGTTTCCAGACTTGTCTTCTGAGGACCTTCATGGTTCTGGGCTGAGAAGATGGTTTCTTACGGGGGGCTGCCTGCAACATGGTGTCAGTTAGCTGGCAGCACCTCCTCTGGAGCAAGGAGCCTTTGCCGGACACGAGAGGCTCTTCACCCAGAGAAAATACTGTCATTAGTGAAAGAGACCCGCAGGGTCATGTTAAAGACCTATAAAAATATAGTTTTGTTGCTGTGTTTTTTTTTTAAACCAAACAGGTCACAAATACAGATTGTATCAGTATAGTGAGGCCAAATCCATCCATAATGAAGTTAATGTCTAAATCCAATGTTTATTGGGTTCACTGTGACTGAATTAAAAGACCTTATCAGTTGCATTGCTGTTTAGATGGTGTGGAACAAGAAAGAGTTACTATTTCAGATCCACGTAGCAAGACACCTCGCTTCATAAAATGCCTTCCAAGTCATTCACACACACACACACAAAAATGGGTGGCAGGCGTTATCTGAAGAGACATTTCTCCTTTCTTTCTCTCATGGGAGGGAATGCCTGTTCTGAGAAATTGGCTGTGTCCCAAGGCCCATGTGGCTAGCGCTGGGCTCCCCGCAGGAGCTGAGCACTTGTTCCCAGAACCCTTTGGAACACCACATGGGTTCTGTGGTGGCTACACTGAGGGTTCCTAAACGGGCATTTGTTGCAACAGTGGTTCCTGAGGTGAGCCTATATAGGGAGCTTTAAAAGGGGGGGGTTTCCAATCCAGAGGTGACAAGAAGGTATGCAGCCGCCTCTTATGTGATGGAACGCCTGGCCCAAGATTTCTTTTCTGTTCACAGAGGCCCAGCTGGGAACCCTCCCCCCCCCCTTTTTGGGGCCCCAGCGGCAGTGGCGGCCATTTTGTGTGGGCATTCATTTTCTTCCCTGTGAAGGCACAGTGGCGTTTCCAGATTAAAAGATCGATTTTCAGAAGCGCGCACATATACCCGCGCACACACCACTGTGGCCTGCCACTGCTGGGCCTGGTGCTGTTCTTTTGCCCCACAGCTGCCCTTCCCCTTCCCCTTGTGCTGCTAACTGGCTGGCCTGTGAGCTGGTGTGTGCCGCTTGTAGTGACTAATGGGCCCTGCCGTTGGTTGGTGGTTTTGGGGAGAGTGGATGAAGGAGAAGCCCCAGGTTCCCTTTTCTTGTGTGGGGAAGGGGCGAGGGGTCTGGGGCTGAGTCTTCCTGTTCTCCCTCCTTGTGTTCCAGAGAGGCATCAAAGGAGCCAGAATCTGAAGCGGAAGGGGCCACCGAGCCCTCAGAATCCTCTTTGCCTACAGAGCATGAATCCTCTGAGAGCGAGAAGGTGAGGGTAAAGGATCCCATGCAAGGATTAAACCAGGGGGTAATTCCAGTGTGGAGCAAGAATGGTGTAGTAATTAAGAGCAGCGGACCCTAATCTGGAGAACCGTGTTTGAATCCCCTCTCCTCCACCGCCTGAAGCCTGCTGGGTGACCTTGGACCAATCACAGTTCTCTCAGAACTCTCTCAGCCCCACCTACCTCACAAGGTGGCTGTTGTGAGGAGAGGAAGGGAAGGTGATTGAAAGCCACTTTGAGAGACTTCTTAGAGTAGAGAAAAGTGGAGTATATAAACCAAATGTTCTTCTAAATGAAGGCAAGCGTACGGGCCTAACCTGCTGCTCCTCTCTAGGGATGCACTTATGCATTTCTCAGCATTTGTACAGTGCGTGTTTTCCGAGAGTTCAAAACCAGTTTGGTGAAGCACAGTGGCTGAAGGAATGACCTGCGATCAGGTGGTCCCTGGTTCAGATCATGTCTCTGCCGCAGACTCCGTGGATGGTCTCAGGCAAGCCTCTGTTGCTCAGCCTCAGTCAAGTACCTGTAATACAAGGATAGTACCAGCTGATCTTACAGGGCTGTTACAGAGGTTACAGAGTGATAATGTTCTATGAAGCATTGCTGCTGTCCCAAGTAAACCTTGCAGTGTCCATGTAAGGTTAGGTAGTAGAAGTGGGCTGAGGCTTGGTACTATCTGCTCAGATCGGCAGTGGCTTTTCCAGCATCTTGGGCAGAGAGAGGTCTTTCCTGGCACTTGCATTCGGTTTCTCAGTTCAGTCCCTGGCACCTCTGGCTAAAGAATCTCAGGCAGCCACTGCTGGGAAAGACCTTTCTCTGCCTGAGACCCCAGGGGGGCCACTACCATAAAATAGAATCATAAAATCACAGATCACAGAGTTGGATGGGGCAAAATAGGCCATCTAGTCCAACCCCCTGCTGAATGCAGGATCAGGCTAAAGAATCCCTGACAAATGTCTGTCCAGCCACTGCATAAAGATGGCCAGTGTGGGGGAGCTCACCACCTCCCCGGGCAGCTGATTCCACTCTTGCACGACTCTTACTGTCAAAAAGGTTTTCTTAAGATCCAGTCGGTACCATCCTTCCCTTAATTTAAACCCATTTTTGCAAGTTCTCTCCTCTGCTGCCAACAGGAACAGCTCCCTGCCCTCCTCTAAGCAACAGCCCTTCAAATACTTAAGTACTTTCCAGTCAGAGGAGGGAATAATGAACTTGATGGACCCAATGGTCTGACTTGGTGTAAGACAGTTTCAGAGAGCCAGTGTGGTGTAGTGGCTAAGAGCGGGCGACTCTAATCTGGACATCCGGGTTTGATTTGCCACTTCTCCACGTGCAGCCAGTTGGGTGACCTTGGGTCAGTCACAGCTCTCTCACTCAGCCCCACCTACCTCACAGGGTATCTTGTTGTGGGGAGAGGAAGGGAAGGTGATTGTAAGCCGCTCCGAGACTCTTTCAGGTAGTGAAGAGCGGGGTATAAAAACCAACCCTTCTTCACATGTTCACCCAGTCAGTAAAAGGCTAAACTGTGATTGGAAGTGCGTCATAGATATGAGTTCTCTGACTTGGTCATTTTTGTCATTGAAGTCTGAGGAAGCTTTCAAAGAGGCGGACGAGGCTGAGGAGGAACCAGGATCATGGGAAGAAACATTCAAGACCCACACGGATAGCAAGATTAATGGTAAGACCCTTGGAAGGGTTGGATGTCCTTCGATCAAGTGACAGAATTTTTAAAAAGGCATTTCCAAAGCATCAGTACAAATGCCTTTCTGAGACCCTGAAGAAAAGACATAGGTTCTGTAAGATATGCTTATTTAAAATTTAATAAACCAAAACTCATTGTTAAAAAGCAATCGTGATGGTTTTTCAACAGTTTGAAAAGTTCAGTGAAGGAATACTCGTATTACAATAATACTGCTTAGTGAAATTGTGACACAAACAAGTTCAGTGTCCATCAGTATAATGGGCGATCTGGCTTTTGGCACGGCTGGCTTCAGTGGGCAGTGGATGGAGGAGGGATGGGTGCTTGGAGGGGTGTGCACTGGCGATAGGTATTGCAAGCAGTGGTTTAGCACAGGGGCTTGGTACTTGATGTTGAAACTCTTCCCCATTCCCCATAGCTAATGTCCTGTCTTTTCTCATTCCAACCAGGTCCAACATCTGTGGGGCTAGACTTCTCACTCCCAGGTGTAGAGAACGTGTATGGCATCCCGGAACACGCAGAAAACCTCCGGCTACGGACGACCGAGTAAGCAGGGGGTTGGCTGCAGTTGTGACGGTCTTCTAGTGGAGCTTAAGCTGTTGGTGCCAGGAGGTAGAAGTGAATCTTCTCCTCACCCCACCTCAGTCTTAGCTGGAACAGAAGGATCATTTCTCCCAGTAGGAACCCCTTTCTCTGATCACATCCCTTTGGTCCGCTGCCATCCCCAATCCCTTCAGAGGGGCTTACGTGAGTCCCTTCTGCTCGCTCGAGGACTTTCTAGGTCCGTACACCAATTGATATGAATCGGCTTTCCCTGGAGGAGCACCATTTCTGCCCTGTTTCTGTTTTTACAAAAGCATGTAAAGCCCCTACTTCCCTTTTTTTTTTTAAAGAGGGTTTTTGGTTGAGGTGGCTTTGTCTGGTACATTTTGGAAAGATGCTTCATAAGGCTGAAAAGAGTCTGTGAATCCAGGCTGTCTTTCTGGATTTGTTGCTTGGCTTGTATTTTTCTTGCATTTTGTTGGCTACCTTGAAGTCCATATCGAAGGGTCACGATACAGGCAGGGGTCTCCAGCCCTTTTCAGCCTGTGGGCATCCTGAGACAGGGTGATGGGCGCAGCCACAAAATGGCTGCTGTGGAAGGTGGAGCCAGCCACAAAATGGCTACCTCAGGAGGTGGAGTCTCACATATACAGGAAGCCCAAATTCTAGGGTAATTAAAAAAAAAATACTGGAGAAGAGAGAGATCAAGATGTGTAGCCATGTTAGGCTGTCTGTAGCAGTAGAAGTCCAGTAGCACCTTACAGACTAATAAAATACGTGGCAGGGGAGGAGCTTTCGTGAGTCACTCCTCACTTCTTCAGATACTCTAAGGTGCCGCTGAACTCTTGCTCTTTTCTACTGGAGAAGAGGAGAAGGGACATAAAAACGACACACTGTGGCAGCTGTTTCCCGAAACAAGTATTATTTTAATCTGCACAGAAAATCAGATCTCCAGTGGCCCATTAGAAGCCCTGCTGGCCAAGACCCCCGTGCGACCCCACCCACTTTCTAAACACATTAGGCGGGACACCAGGAAAGATGCTGGCGGGAGCCACGGCACCCCTGAGTTATGGGATGGATGGTGTGGAGGTGCCGCCGATAAAAGGAAGGACGTGTTATTTTTCTGGCATTCCTAACTTGCCGAAACCTTTCTTAGGGGAGGAGACCCGTACCGCCTCTATAACTTGGACGTCTTCCAGTACGAGCTCTATAATCCCATGGCCCTCTACGGCTCGGTTCCCGTCCTCCTGGCTCACAATGCCCAGCGCACCCTGGGGATCTTCTGGCTGAATGCGGCGGAGACCTGGGTGGACATCACTTCCAACACAGCTGGCAAGGTACTGGTGGGGATGGGATGGGGTTAGAATGGAGCTAGGTGGGGACGGTGCCCGAAAAGAATAGAGACGTGAGCTTCTCCTTTTCCCCTCTCATGGGTTGTCGGGGAGATGGTCTTATGGGTGTCTCAGGAGCACCTTTGAAAGAAGGGGCGTCACATTTTCCCCTAGTAACAGTGGAATAAAGTCTGTAATGGAGGGGAGACCATTGCGATGAGGGTGTTTTTAGTGGATTTCTCAGCGCAAAACTGGTGGGGAGAATCCGTTGTTTCCTGTTCACCGTGCAGTGGCCGAGAGACTGAGCTACAGATCAGGAAGTGCTGATTCAAACTTGTTTTCTGCATGATGTTATCACCTAAGTGTTCCCTAGTCTTAATTACGCTTACCTAGGGAACTCTTACTCTGACCTGGATGGCCCCGGCTAGGCTGATCTTGTCAGATCTCAGAAGCTAAGCAAGGTCGGTCCTGGTTAGTGTTTGGGTGGGAGACCCCCAAGGAGGTCCAGGGTCTCAATGCAGAGTCAGGCAATGGCCTCTTGCCTTGAAAACCCGATAGGCTCCCCCTGTCAGTTGTGAACTGATGGCAAAAAAACGGAGCTCCAGTTGTTGCTTGTTTATTGCTGTTTTTAGATGGCAGTAGCTGTGTTCGTTTGCAACAGAACAGCGAGATCCAAGTCCAGTAGCACCGTAAAGACCACCAAGATCTCCAGGGTATAAGTTTTCAAGAGTAATAACTCTGACGAAAGGAGCTTTGACTCTTGCAAACTCATACCCTAGAAATCTTCTTGGATTCTTAAGGTGCTGCTGGATTTGAATCTAGGTGTTCATTGCTGAATAACTGCGTGTTCTTGTGTACACGTTTGTAATGTGTCATTGCTGTCATTACTGCTCACAGAGCCGCTGGGAAGCGGTTGTAAGACCTTGCCTCTGCCATAAACTCATTCGGCAGCATTATTAGGCAAGCTGCTTTCTCGGTCTTGAAAACCGAAAGGCTGTAACAGAATGGTTCCAGAAGCACTGTGTAAACGCGCCGCTTGCCTGTTTCCGCACGTCTGCAGACACTGTTTGGGAAGATGCTGGACTACATGCAAGGTGGAGGCGAGACCCCTCAGACGGACGTCCGATGGATGTCGGAGAGTGGTATCATCGACGTGTTTCTCTTGCTGGGGCCGTCCCCCAAGGACATTTTCAGGCAGTATGCATCCCTCACGGGTGAGTGCGGGGAGAGGTTTATGTCGCTGTGCTTTTGAAGGAATTCACAGGGCCAGTGTTTGTGATGCCTGCTGGGGGTGGGGGGTGTTAAATGTCGTCCCTTGCGACTTGTGGCAACCCTACGCATTAATGACCTTATTAACAGCCGTGCTCAGGTCTTGCAAACTCAGGGCCGTGGCTTGCTCGATTGAGTCCGTCCATCTCATGCTGAGTCTTCCTATTTTCCTTCTGCCTTCCACTTTTCCTAGCATTGTTGTCTTTACTGGTGACTCTTCTCCTAATGTGACCAAAGTATGATAGCCTCAGTTTGGTCGTTTTAGCTTCTAGGGAGAGTTCAGGCTTCATTTGCTGTAGATGCCTGGTTTATTCACATTAATTCTGCCGCTGTGCGCCCAGTGTACAGCACCCCAGGTATGTGTGCTTCATCACCAGCACGGTTTATTTATTTATTTTTCAAAATTTATATTGCTTCGAGGCGGTGGACACCCAGTTACTTGGCCTTCTTGTACAGAGCCTACATAGAGACTGCCTTACATAAAGACGGTCCAGACCATCAACCTTATGTGAAGTTTGGGATTATGTGGATAGGACACCGGTGTCATTTATCCAGTTTTTATGGAGGGTCTGAATTCTTGCTTTGCTGTCTTTAATTGTCTTCATTGTTTTCTGGTTTTAATATTTTTAATTAGAGTAATTGTTCAGTTGATTTTTATTGTTACATGTCTTGATGTTACCTGCCCTGAGCCCATTAAATAATAAATATTCCATCCTCCCAGCGAACGAGCTCAGGGCGGATCACAACAGATAATTAGGCCATCGGGCATCACAAAGAACACAGTAGGAAATAGTTCATTAGAACATTAAAACAAAGAACTTATAACAGATTGCACCAGTTGTTGCACAGTCTCCGATACTGGTGCCGCTGGACTCTTAAGTTTGTTCAGTCTGGGCCGTGTGGAAGTGGTGTCCTCATCAGGGGAGGCTACAATTGAAATGCTTTGTTTGGCCTGCCCCCAGTAAGTCTCGTTTGCCTTCCCTGGTTTTGGCGTTGTGTGCTTATATGTTTTTACTGAATTATTGTATGTGTATTTGGTTTTAAATGACCTAATGTTTGTTTTTACTAACAATTGTTACCCACCTTTCTGCTCCCACAGGGGGCACCAGGGTGACAACAATTTAAAACATACTTGCTCAGATCAAATCACATTTCCAAACCATTGAAGTCAACCCCTCCCCAAAAAATGCACACCATTAAAACAATAAAAGCAGTTAAAATACACGCAAGACGTAAAATCAACCAATTAAAAGATTGGTTAGGAAGGAAGGGTCACTGAGGAAATGCCAAATGAAACAAAAGTCTCTTCACCCCCTGGTGGAAGATGGCAGCAGAAGGGGAATTTTCAGATAGTCACTGCCTTGGGGGACCTGTTTGGCAGGATAGAAATGTTCCAAATAAATACAAGTGTAGAACTGAGCCCCAGGTACAGGATTCATTATTCTGGGATGGATCAGCTTTCTCTTTTTAAGCATGTTTCTAGTCCTTAAGGCTAAGTTTATGGCTCGGTGTGCTGTCTGGCTTAACTCTGGTGTTTGGTGTGACGTCCGTCCTGGCAGACCATAGAATCATAGATTTGGAAGGGGCCATACAGACCATCTAGTCCAACCACCTGCTCAATGCAGGACCAGCCTAAAGCACATCTGACAAATATTCATCCAGCCTCTTCTTGAAAGCTGTCAGTGAAGGGGAGCCCACCACCTCCCTAGGCAGCTGATTCTACCTTTGAACCACTCTGACCGTGAAAAAGCTTTTCCTAATATCCAGCCGATACCTTTCTGCATGTAATTTAAACCCGTTGCTTCGGGTCCTATCCTCTGCTGCCAACTGGAACAGCTCCTTGCCCTCCTCCAAATGACAGCCTTTCAAATATTTAAAGAGAGCAGTGATGTCCCCCCCTCAATCTCCTCTTCTCCAAACTAAACATTCCCAAGGCCCTTAGCCTCTCCTCGTAGGGCTCAGTCTCCAGACCCCTGATCACCCTCCTCGCTCTCTTCTGCACCCTCTCGATTTTGTCCACATCCTTTTTGAAGTGAGGCCTCCAGAACTGCACACAGTACTCAAGGTGCTTTCCAGCGGGCTGACAAATCGAAATGGTAATCTGTGCTTTGAAGTGGGCCTGCCAACCAATGGGTTGTGCCGAACTGACAAACAAGAGGTAGCACCCTCACTCAGCCTCGGAATGCTGCTGCAACCAAAGCCTGAAGCGCTGAACTGAGCAGGCAAAAAAAGACACGGGAATGAGCTGCTGTACCTAAATTATGCCTGGCAGCTGTAAGTCTGGGAGCTCGACTGTAACCTGGTGCAGTGTCTAAACTGAGATGGGGAACAGTGGGGTATTGTTGTTTTAAGTGTGTGCAGGAAGTGCGTAGGTGAGTTGGGGAATCTTGGCAAGGTTTCAGTTGGCCAAGGTGGTAGTGCTTCAGTGCCATCTACGGGGTTGGGTCCCATGAATCTCTTCCTTTACTGGTGGCCCTTTGCCCCCAACGCAGAGAGAAATACGTCTTGCATCAGGAGAAAGCAGTTTGTGCACTGGAGTGAAAGTCAGTGTTTCCTCTAAGCTGAGTTAGTCTGAGCTAGCTCACAAGTTTTTAGCCTCTGGCTCACACATTTCTGTCTTAGCTCAGGAAGGAGGGCTCCAGAGCAAACTAATTTATGCAGTAGCCAAATCGCTCACTCACAACTTTAATGCTGGAAGCTCACAAAGTAGAATTTTTGCTCACAAGACTCCATAGCTTAGGGAACATTGGTGAAAGTGTTGTGATTTATTTGTTCAGGACACTTTTAACTGGCTTTTCTCCGTACGGTATGGATCCAAAGCAGCTTACAATGCACAAAATATAGAAAAGACAATCGAATTTGCCCTGATCTGGATAGCCCAGGTCTCATCAGATTTCGGAAGCAAAGCAGGGCCAGCCCTGGGAAATATTTGGATGGGAGACCTCCAGAGAATACCAGGGTTGGGAGGCCGGAGGCAGGCTTATCAGGCCACTTTTCTGAACATCCTCTGTGCCCCAGTAGGAGTTGCCGGAGGTCACCATGACTTCCAGGCATGGGCCCGCGCACACACAAAAATACAAAAACAGACAATCAAATTCCAGAGATACACAGAGTGATACAATTTCACAATAACTTCTTTCCCATTACTTGCTTACTAACTTGCTCATGAACTAATTCATAAGGCAGAGCAGGCGGTGGTAACAGCACTGTCCTGGATGGAACAGTCTCTCCCCAGGCAGGCATATGTTCCCTTCCTTCACTCCTAGAAGGCAGTTCGCGTTGCAGCTGCTGGGGAAAAATCATAGAATCATAGAGTTGGAAGGGGCCATACAGACCATCCAGTCCAACCCCCTGCTCAATGCAGGATCAGCCTGGAGCATCCCTGACAAGTGTTTGTCCAGCCGCTGCTTAAAGATGGCCAGTGAGGAGCAATGTTCCCTCTAAGCTGCAGAGTCTTGTGAGCAAAAATGCTACTTTGTGAGTTATGGCATTAAAGTTGTGAGCAGGCAATTTGACTACTGCATAAATTAGTTTGCTCTGGAGCCCATCCTTCCTGAGCAAACACAAAAATGTGTGAGCCGGAGGCTAAAAACCTGTGAGCTAGCTCACACTAACTCAGCTTAGAGGGAACACTGGTGAGGAGCAGAGAAGTGGGAAACAGCTCTGCCCTTGTTGGAATTGTCCGTTGCCAGGCAGCTTGCAGAACAGACCTGCAGGATCTGACTATCTCATTCCCCTTCTCTCGTGAGCAGCTGCAGAAAACACAGCTTGTGTCAATGAAGAAAATGCAAGCGGGCTCGCTATTACAGTGCAGGATTTTGAAACGTGCTGAGCCCAGAGCACAAATTCTGGGTGAGGCAGAAGCCGGCTGAGGTCTGATCCGATCCCCTCTTGCTCAGGCACCCAGGCCCTCCCTCCGCTCTTCGCCCTGGCCTATCACCAGAGCCGCTGGAACTACAATGACGAGGATGACGTGAGCGCTGTGGACAGCGGCTTCGACGAGCACGACATCCCCTACGACGTCATCTGGCTGGACATCGAGCACGCCGACGGCAAGCGCTACTTCACATGGGATCCCAACAAGTTCCCCCATCCCCGGGAAATGCTGCAGCGGCTGGCGGCCAAGAGGCGCAAGGTAGGGCTGTGTGAAGCTGCTGTATGTCGAGTCAGCCCATCTAGAACTGGCACTGTTTCCTCTGACTGACAGCAGCTCCCCAGCATCTTGGTCTTTCCCCCAGCGCCTGCCTCCTGAGAGGCATTGCCATCGTTTGGATCATCTTTCTGTCTGTTCTAGTGATACCCACTCTGATTGGCATTGCTTCCCGTGGGAAAGAGATACAGCTCAGTGGTAGGTTGCCTGCTTTTTGTACGCAGAAGGTCCCAGGTTCAGTCCCCAACACTTGCAGTTCAAGAACTCCAGCAGATGTTTGGGAAAGGACTTTCTCTACTGGGGAGCCGCTACCAGACTGAGCAGATAGTAGAGCTACTGGATCTTTACAAACACATGATGCGGTCTTGTGCTGAGTTAGACCTTTGGCCTGTCAAGAAGGAGAAGAGGAGATTGGATTTATACCCCGCTCTTCACTCAGAGTCTCAGAGCGGCTTACAGTCTCCTTTCCCTTCCCCTCCCCACAACAGACACCCTGTGAGGTAGGTGGGGCTGAGAGAGCTCTTTCGAGGACTGCTCTTGAGAGAACAGCTCTGAAAGAACTTGCGACTGACCCAAGGTCACACCAGCAGCTGCATGTGGAGGAGTGGGGAATCGAACCCAATTCTCCCAGATCAGAGTCCATTCTCTTAACCGCTACACGAAACTGGCTTTCTAGGTCATTGTCGTCTGTCTTGACTGGCAGAAGCTCTCCCAGGTCTCAGAGGGAGGCCTTTCACATCATCTCCCACCAGAGCCTTTTAGCTGGAGATGCCAGGGGTTGAACCTGGGCACATCTGCAAGTATTGCAGGTTTTCTACCACTGAGCCACAGGCCCCCCCCCTATAAGCAGAGTTTCATATAGAATACGTATGTCCAGGGCTCTAGTCGGGGGGGAGCTCTCAGGTACGGAGCTCCGGAAGAGAACCTCTAGGGGGCGGGGCGGTCACGTGGTGAAGCCCCGCCCCCTTCTTTACCCCGCCCTCTGCTTCGGTCCTCATTCTGTTTGGGAATGAGGATGAAGCAGGAGGGTAAGTAGCCGGGCCTTCTGACACACTTCCGGTGATGTCAGGGGGTGTGGCCTTCTGTCACTTCCGGTGATGTCAGGGGGCGTGGCATATGCAAATAAGTTATGCTAATGAGTTATGCTAATGAGCTCCGGCAGCTCTTTTTCTACAACAAGACCCCTGCGTATGTCTGAAGCAGAAGTGCAGGAGATGCTGGGGACTGAACCTGCAGTGTTGAACCTGAAAAGTATATGCTCTGCCACTGAGCTTCTAGCTCTTCCCCAATAACACATGGACCTGCCTGTCTGCCCCAGTCCTGTCTCTTCCACTGAGCGTCCAGCGACCTGGAGTCTTAGTCGTAGTCTTACTACCTCAGAACTGGCAGATTGTACTTGCAAATCAAGTGCTTTACCATTGAGCCGTTGGCTGTTATGGGTAACATTTACGTTGTATAATTTGTACCCTGCCTTCCTCCCCGGTGGGGACCCAAAGCAGTTCGCCTGGTTTTCCTCTCCTCCATTCTATCTTCACAATAACCCTGTGAGGTGGTGTTAGATATAGCGACCTCCTGTGGCAAAGTGGGGATCTGAACCTGGTTCTCTCAGAGCCTGGTCTGATGCTCTGCCTGCCGCACCACACCGGCTCATTGCCCTGGGCTCTAGGAGCTTCTTAGGCGTCCTTCAGACCTTGCAGCTGTGCCGAGCTGGTAATCTCTAAACTGGGCTGAGATGATTCCTGCACAGAGACAACCGGCACGAGGCACAGTCTTAGATGCAGGCAAACCAGACCTTAGTGACTCCGCTGCTACACTTGTACAGATACGCTTAGAAGCACAAGCTTTGTCGTCGTTTACGTTGGAAGCCGCCTCGAGTGCCTATAAGTTAGAAAGGTGGCTAATAAATGTTTTAAATAAATCATTCTGAAGGCAACGTCTGCCAAAAAAGGGGGGAGGGGGGGAGAGCTGTGGTTGGATGCCAGGGCTTCCATGCTCTGCATAGCCTATTTTATTTTTATTTTATGTATTAAATTTGTTAATTGCCCCATCCCTGCAATGCAGGGCTCTGGGTGATGTACACCAATCATAAAAACATCGGGATAAAATAATTAAAACGTTAATCAGATATTTCAGGCAAGAAGATGGCGTGCATTAGTTGGTCCCATTTCAGACTGCTGGCCGTTTCACGAGCAGGGGAGAGGAGGGCAAAGCAGATATGAGAAGCAACTGGAGCGGAAAGGGTGCCAGCCAGCTGTGATGGAAACTGTTGCTCTCCTCAACCAAATTCCTGGAGGAACATCTCTGCCTTACAAGCCCTGAGGAATTGCATAAGGTCCCATAAGGTTCTGATGGTATTTGGCAGAGAGTTCCACCAGATTGGGGCCAGGACCAAAAAGGCCCTGCCCCTATGTCAAAGACAGCCAGATAACTTTAGGGCTGGGGACCTAAAGCTCTCCTTGCTTGGTTACCAGAGCCAGAATGAATTAGGCAAAGTAAGAAGTGTGTGTGTGTGTATAAATGTCTTACTTTGCCTAATAATGTGTTTGTGTATATGTGTGTGTGTCTGTATTTTCCATTGGTCATATGGACAAGGGGTGTGCCTCTGCATTACCTTTATGCTCCCTAACCCCACACGTTTTGCACTCCCTTCCTCGGCCCAGATGGTGAGCATCGTGGACCCTCACATCAAGGTGGACAGCAACTTCCGAGTCCACAACGAGATCCGCTCCCGCGACTTTTACACCAAAACCAAGGACGGCAGCGACTATGAAGGCTGGTGCTGGCCAGGTGAGGGTGAGGGGCTGTAGAAGTCTGGGGCTGGGGTAGCCGGGGGGCGGGCGGGGGAGATATGGGGACTTCTCTGGTCGTTGGGTTGGATGGCCGGGGCCAGCCTTGTCATAAACACTTGAAGTGGCCTTAGGCCATTGGTCCTTCTAGCTCAGAATGGGCTGCCTTGACTGTTAGCAGACTCCCCCAACAACTCCTCCCTGAGGTCCCTGACCCAGAGGTCGCAGGGGATGAACGTGGGAGCCAGTCCAAAGATTTCAGTGTTCTTCGTTCCTTCAGAAATGTCTTTCCTGCCTTGCCACCAGTGCACATCTCCAAGGCAACCTTTGAGAGCCAGTGTGGCACAGTGGTTAGAGTGTCAGACTGGGGAGACCCCGGTTCAGATCTCCATGAGACTACCGTGTCGGCCTTAGGTCACCCAGCAGGCTTTGATGGCAGAGCGGGGATTTGAACCACAAGCTCCCCTTGCCATTACAGTCTGACATGGTAACCAGCATGCTTCCATCAGGGCCCTGTGGGACTTAATGCAGTTCCGCCGGGCCCGTAAGGCAGAGGTTGAGGACAGCATGCTTTTGGTTGAGGACAGCAAAGGTTTTCCATCATAGCTGGCACCCTCTTCTTCTTTTTCCGTCTTGCCTGATTCAGCCTCCTCCTAGCCTGCCCATGAGATGGAAGAACAGTCCAGAGCAGGTTCTTAGACTAAAGTACAGATGCCATCTGGAGATTGTGCAATTAGGATTAACTGATCTGTTGATTTTAGATTGTATTTGCTATGTTTTTAACCTGTTGTAAATCGCCCAGAGCTCTGTGTACTCAGGGATGGGACAGTTCAGAAATTGAATGATCATAATAGCACTAAACCGGTGTTTCCCAACCAGGGGATCATGGAAACCCTGGAAACAGCATCTAACCCTGCAAACAGCGTCTTCTGTGTCATACATTAGTTGGTATTTTTTCTTCTTCACTGCATATACTTGCTGATCAAGTAAAGCATGTCCTGATGGTTGCTAGAGCGGGCTTCTTAGAATCATAGGAGGGATGAGCGGGAGTAATGGAGAAGGAAAGGGTGGGTAGAGGCTGGAATGTAACCTCCATATGCAAAGGATGTGTAGGTCGGAGTGCCACTTGCTTGGGGTTCAGCCTTGGATGGGTCACCATGCCAAGTCAATTTGGACTTCTGGGTCAGCATACCGTAAAGCTGGGAGCCGCTGCACTAGACCATACTGACTCCCTGCCTCCAAGCCCCAACAGATGAGCAAGAAAAGGAGGCGAGAGATGCATGTGGGCAAATGTAATTAGTCTTACCTAATAATAATTGTTCAAGGCCCTTGGTATTTATTTAATTTATTTAATTTATTGAATTTGTACCCTGCTGCCCTACCCCCAAAACGGGCTCAGGACAGCTCACAACATAAAACCAATAAACGATAAAACAATAAATAGCAATAGCAGATAAAACTGAAACCCATGCCTGATTGAAGTACCCAAGTAATATCCAGGACAGCAGGGCACTGGAAAAAGGTCATGAACAGTGCTGTGGACAGGTCAGGGGGGCCAGCGGTCTACGTAACAATTGATGGTGTAAGTAAAGCCAAAGATCTTTGCCCCAAGGAGCCTCTCTAGCCCGCGACTTGAGGGAAGAGCGACCTGGGTTGAACAAATGCAGAAACACATTGGTGATGAGAACTAAAAGGATAAACCCAAGGTTTCATCTAAGGGCCAGCCCACATCCCTAATCTGTGCTTTACTCTCCATACACCCAGGCTCAGCAGGATACCCTGACTTCACCAACCCTGAGATGCGTGCCTGGTGGTCCAGCATGTTTGCCTATGATCAGTATGAGGTAGGGCAATTGCTAGTCCCCTTGGGGGACCTACTCTCTTTGGCTGTGGCGTGACTCTCGCCCCCTGCCCCGTGCTCAACTGATGTGAGCATCTTCCTTCCTTCCTTCTTCTGCTGCTCCAGGGCTCCATGGAGAACCTCTATACCTGGAATGACATGAACGAGCCCTCTGTCTTCAACGGCCCAGAGGTGACCATGCACAAGGACGCCGTGCACAAGGGGGGCTGGGAGCACCGTGACGTCCACAACCTTTATGGGCTGTACGTGGTGAGTGTGGCTTGCTTTCTTCTTCAGGGTTCTGGGCCCACGAATCACGTCTCCGAATAGTCTCGGGAGGTTTGATGCTGCAGTGTTGTTGAACTTAAAGCGAGTGGACAGTTTGATCTGGATGGGAGACTGTTGGGGACAGGATAAAATCCACCTTGTTTTCCCAAAGTGTGCAAATGGAGCAGATGCCTGTAACTTCCCTTTATTCTTCGTGCTTCTGAAATGTGTATAACTTCATAAGATTTACTGAGGTGTTGTTAGTCATGGAGAAGAGTAGGAAAGGAAGGGCAATGGAACCAACTAGGCCTGGGGAGAGATCTTGGTTCCAGTCCCAGCTTGGCCACAAAGCTTACGAGGTGACTTTGGGCCAGACACATGCACTCAGTTTAGCCTATTGATTTGCACGAATCGAAGAGGGGGGGTGAGAGAGAGAGAGAGAGAGAGGCTCTTTTTACCATGCTGAGCTCTCTTTGGAGGGAAAGCTCTGCCAGGCATCAAAGTTCCATCCCAGCTTCCGGAAATAACTATTTGCTGATCCTGTCAGCTTCTGAGATTTCCAAAGGCACAGCTTACCCACATCCAAGTGTACCTTAAGGGCTAGAAACTTGCTCATTTAAAAAAAATAAAATAATGAAAGCTGATCTTCTCAGGAAGCTGAGCTGTGAGCCCCACATGCTATGCTTTTTTTTGGATCCTCTGAATTGGCAGCGCAGACCCAGGCCTGTCTACGCGCTCTGTTCAGGGAGAAGGAAGGAAGAGGAATAGTACGAAGGGGGCTGCCCCCCAATACAGACTCTCAGCTATCTCTTTAGCTAAGATCTCTTTTCTCCCTTCGTCAGCAAATGGCAACGGCACTCGGGCAGGTGCAGCGGTCGGGCGGTGTGGAGCGGCCTTTCGTGTTGTCTCGAGCATTCTTTGCCGGCTCCCAGCGTTACGGTTAGTGGTTGGGTACACGTTGGTGCGTGGGAGAGCAGGAAGACTTTTCAGCGGGAGGAGAAAGGAGGGCCGTAGCTTCGTGGTGGATTTCCTGCCAGCTTCAGTCCCCTGAGTCATGCTCCAGATATATCCAAAACGGCACCGAAGAGGAAATACAAGGAGTGTAGAACTGAATGGGGGGAAAGTACGACGAAGCACCACCCTGTCTAATTATAATGGACAAGATGCCTCCCCTATTAAAGGACATTCTTAAACCAGTGGTTCTTCAGAAAATGATTATTGTTGGGGGAAAGATTACATTTGTGTGTGCTTTATAGAGCTAGATTTGAGTCTGGCGGCACCTTTGAGACAAGATTCTTAGAGTATGAGCTTTTTAAAAAATCAAAGCTCCCTTTGCCGGATACTCTGACTCCCTTTGTCAGAGCTTCGACTCTCGAAAGCACATCCCCTGAAAGTCTTGTTGGTCTCTAAGGTGCTGTGGAAGCCAGCTCTTCTGCTTCAGACCAACACAGCTGCCTTCTGAAACTATATGCTGGGTGCATGTTCAAGACAGTTCCTCACCAAACAGGCATCCGCTATATTGCCCTGTTTGAAATATCTCTTCATGAGAAGAATGCAAGTTGGGAAACCTATCAGTTGGATTTTCAAGCAGATGATCTCCTACTTAATTGAAACAAGTAACACACGTCACATCTTTAACAGGTGACATCTCCCGTCCATTACAGTTACGTAGTGTGAAGCTTTGTAGTACTTTTCCCCCCCCATTCAGCTTTCATCCTCAGCATCTCCGGTTCAAGCATGTGCAGGGGAAGACTGTTTTGTATCTGTGAGCCTGAAGAAACTACTGCCAGTCAGAAGAGAGAGCTCTGGGCAAAAATGAACCTCTGGCCTGACTTTAAGGCAGGCTCATATGCCCGTAAGACCCTGTTTTCTGTGTAGCAGGAAGAACATAAGGGCCCTGCTGGATCAGACCAGTAGTTCATCTAGTCCAGCATTCCGTCTCACACAGCTTGCCAACCAGTTCCTCTGGACAGCCAACAGCAGGGCAAAGAGGCCGAGGCCTTCCCCTGATGCTGCCTCCTCCTGGCTGTGGGATTCAGAGTCTTAGTGCTTCTGAATGTGGAGATTCCCCTCAGTCACCATGGCTAGTAGCCATTGATAAGACATCCTCCATGAATCTATCTAATACCCCTTTAAAGCTATTCCTGTGGCCGTCATTACAAGTGATAAAGTGGCATTCTGCCCATGGTTCCTTCACTGCCACGCCCTCTTCCTCCTCTGCAGGTGCTGTGTGGACAGGGGACAATGCAGCCGAGTGGGACCATCTGAAGATCTCCATTCCCATGTGTCTAAGCCTCAGTCTTGTGGGCATCTCTTTCTGTGGAGGTGAGTGTTGGCAGGCAATGGCCTGCGCCATACAGGGCAGGCCTCTGTGTTTGTGGGCGTGAGTCTAGGAAAGGAATAGCGCGCCAAAGGGATATTAAAGCATTCCCCCCCCGCGCCGTCTTTCCCTCTCTCAATCTGTCCCCAGCTGACGTGGGGGGCTTCTTCAAAAGCCCAGAGCCGGAGCTGCTGGTGCGCTGGTACCAAGTGGGAGCTTATCAGCCCTTCTTCCGTGCGCATGCCCACGTGGACACCATCCGCCGGGAGCCCTGGCTGTTCGGTGAGGAGAACAAAGCGCTGATCCGGGATGCCATCCGCGAGCGCTACGCCCTGCTGCCCTTCTGGTACACAGCCTTCTACCACAGTTACCGGACGGGCCAGCCTGTCATGAGGTAAGCAAACTGGATTCTTCATGTACGAAAGGGTAGAAAGTGAAAGGGTAGCATCCAATTGGCTACGTGTAGGATGGAGAAAATGAAGCGTTCTGTCGAGCAATTCCAATTTTTTTTTGTAGCCATAAGGCCTAGAAACCTGGTGTTTTCCCGTTATGAAATCCAAAACTGAACAAATACCAAATTTCTGCTTTTCACCTTAAAATACGTATGGTTGGGGTAGGATTATGTGGTCAGGGGAGCCAGTTTTTGACATGATGCCAAGAAGAAAATAAAAGGGCTGCACTAGTTGCAGGAGATTAAAAAATAAGGCCAAGGCCAATGGTGCAAAATCAGGTAAAATTCCCAAACAATTCTCTATGTGTTTCGTTATCAGGCTTCGTCAGGGGAATCTGTTCATCTTGTAGGAATTCTGAGGACTTACTGCAAGACGAACAGATTCCCCTGACGAATGGCCATCTGACAGCCATGCTGATCTGTGAACTTAGTCGGTTCATGAGAGGGCGGGCAGGAAGGGTTGCACCAGTGCTTTGTTCTCATGGCCGTTTCTTATATGCCCAGGAAAATGCCGATCACCACTTTGGGGTCAGGAAGCAATTTTTCTCCAGGCCAGTTTTGGCCAGGGATCCTGGAGGATTTTAGTCATCCGTTGGGCATGGAACCTGGGTCTTGTGGTGCGGGGGGAGGTATTTGTGAATTTCCTTCACTGTGCAGGGGGGTTGGACTAGATGACGCTGGAGGTCCCTTCCAACTCTATGATCCTTCGAAGACTGTTGGCGAAACGGATAGAGAATTGTTTGGGAATTTTAACGGCGTTATAAAATATATTTTTATCTGATTTTGCACCATCAGCCTTGGTTTTATTTTTTATCTCTTGACTTGATGCCAAACCATGCCCTGTAGTTAACCATCCTTTAGAACCCAAATAATGATTTGAGCTTTGAAATGTACAGAAGAGAAACCAAGATTTAATTTATACCCTGACTTTTTCCCCAGTGGGGACCCAGGGTGGCGTACATCATTCTCCTTTCCTCCATTTTATCCCCACAACAACCCTGTGAGGTAGGTTAGGCTGAGAGAGAGTATAACTGGTTCCAAGGTTACCCAGTTAGCTTCCATGGCATGAGTGGGGATTCGAACCTGGGCCTTCCTGATACTATTCCTATGCTCTTAACCACTACCCTCCACTGGTTTATAGCTGCTTGTGTTTTCTGTCTGGTCAGAATGGGGTGGGGGCATTCTGGGGGCAGGGCCCTGGCAATCGCTTATAGTTTGTCAGTTCAGACACCGTGCCCAACCACAGTTTCTAATTCATGGTTTGTCTATTTGGACACCATACTAAAAAAAATTAATTTTTCCACCACAGTTTGGTGTGGTGTCTGAACTGAGCCTCTGAACCACTTCATACAAACAGAGGCGGCACTGCAAGGATGACCCCTGTTCTCTCCTGCTCCCCCTGCCCTCTTGCATGTTGTCAAAAGTCCTCCTTTGACATAAGCTGGCAAACCGTAGCTCGCGCTTCCTTTCCGATCCAGGATTTCCAAGCCAGCTTTGAATCGTGGTTTTCAGTCTTGGCTTGCAAAGGAAGTACAAGCCACAGCTGCCGATTTGGACGTACTAGCAGAATGCAGGTTGGATTCTGTGGATCCATTCTACTAATAGCACGTTTCCCTGATGCAGGAGGCTCAAAATAGCTTTGCCCAAAGCAGGAGTCAGTAACGAAATAAGTGCTTAAGGATGGGGCTTGTTTGTCGCTGCCAAGCATGGTTCAACATCACGTGTGAACCAGCCCACTGCGTAGGGGATTGTTTCCCCATCTGTTTCTCTCTTATTGATATCCCCTCTTTTTTCCCTGCAGACCCCTCTGGGTGGAATATCCCCAGGATGTGACCACATTCAGCATTGATGACCAGTATCTTCTGGGTGAGTTCAGTGGATCCCGGGGTAGAGAGGCTGAAAGATCACTGTCCTACTCACTGCCCTCCTCGATCTTCCATCACCCGCTATCTGTCTTGGTTCCAGAGCTTTTGGCTGAGAACTTGATAGCCTACTTAAATTTAAAAGCTATTTTGGTTCTGGCTTTTAAACAGGAATGAAATGGCAAATGACTTTTCTTTCTAACAATGCATGGCAAACTGGTGCCTAGTATTTCTGGCCCCTCTGTGGCTGTTGAAAAAGATCACCAAAATTAAATTTCTTCGATCAATTCTTCTAGTGAAATAAGTAAGTGATATCCATAAAGCAACCTTATGTTAGCCCCAAATAACATATCATAACATCTTATCCATGTTTTTGGATTCCTCAGAGTTCTCTTTTCCAGCTGGTTGTTAAGAAACCCAAAAAGATGAATAACAGAAAGACCAGTTGTAGATGGGTTAATGAGGTTAGGCTGTACTGGATGGAATTTTTTTTTTAAAAAAAACCCTTGGGTTGCACTGAAGTTTATTGAAACAGATCCAATTGCTGCTGTTTCCTTTGACAAAAGCCAGCAATAATTTGGGTCAGTTTTCAGGAACGAATCTAAAATCTTAAGGGATTGCTGCAGACTTTCAGCCATGCCCAAGTAAAAGCTTTCCCCCTCTAACCTTATTATTGTTATTGCTTTACAGCTCTGTGGTTCTTGATCTTCAAAGTTTGCTTGCTGCTTGGTCATGGTTTTTTTGGTTCTAACCCCCCCCCCACAACCTGTGGTTATCCTATTGCTTTTAGATCCCCCCCATAGACCAACCCAGCTTCCTGCAGTGATCCACTTCATTGTTTCAAAATGCACTCTGTATTTTCTGAAATAATAAATATACGGGGCCATAGGGATGCCCATTTGCTGTGTCAAATCCATTACAATGTACTTTGGGATGGTCCGCGCTTGCCACAGAAGTGAGGAGTGACTCCCGAAAGCTCCTGGCCTGCCACAAATTTTGTTAGTCTTCAAGGTGCTCCTGGACTCTTGCTCTTCTCTGCTGCTACAGACAGACAAACACGGCTACCCATCTTGATCATGCTCACACAGTTACGTTATAAAAACATTTTTTATAATCGTCTGCAGGTGCCAGTGCTGCAAAAAATCATAGATGTTAACTTCTATCTTTTCACATTAACTGAGGGGCAAAACTTTGTTTTTAAAAGTTTTTCCACCCTACCCTGGTGTGAAACCAGGTTCCACGTCTCCTGTTCATATGCTTGTTCTCTCCTTGTAGGTGATGCGCTGTTGGTTCACCCGGTAACGGCCCAAGGGGCCCGAGGCATTCAGGTCTACTTGCCTGGCAAAGGAGAGGTGAGCGGGGCAGGGAGGGTATGAATGAGGCACAGACAGAGATGTGCTTGATTCAGGCAGTGCGCCCCCAAACATCATTTGTGCTGACTGTAACTTAGACTTTGAGCTATGGTTTGCGCTTCCAAATGTACAAGAAACCCATGGCAGAGGGTTGGCATGCTCGATGTCTCAACTGAGTCACAGAGACACCCCGGCCTGGTCACAGAGAGTGATTAAAATGTGGAGTTCGCTGCTAGAGGATGTAGTGATGGCCACAGGCATAGGCATCTTTAAAAGGGCATTTGACAGATTCGTGGATGAGCATAACAAACACAAACTTACATACTGGGGTAACTTGAGAGCCAGTTTGGTGTAGTGGTTAAGTGCATGGACTCTAATCTGGGAGAACCGGGTTTGATTCCCCACTCCTCCACTTGCACCTGGCTGGATGACCTTGGGCAAGCCGTAACTCTGATAAGAGCTGTTCTTGAAAAAGAGCAGTTTCTGTCAAGAGCTCTCTCAGCCCCACCTACCTCACAGGGTGTCTGTTGTGGGGAGGGGAAGGGAAAGGAGTTTGTAAGCCGCTCTGAGACACCTTTGGGTAGTGAAGGGCGGGGCATAAATCCAATCTCTTCTTCAGTCTACCAGTGGCTACTAGCCATGGTGGCTGAGGGGAACCTCCACATTCAGAGGCACTAAGCCTTTGAATCCCGGAGCCAGGAGGCAACATGAGGGGAAGGCCTTGGCCTCTATGCTCTGTTGTTGGCCCTCCAGAGGAGCTGGTTGGCCACTGGGTGAGACAGGATGCTTATTTATTTATTTATTTATTTACCTTCAATTTGTATCCCGCCTTGCCAGTGCAAACTAGATGGACCACTGGCCTGATCCAGCAGAGCTCTTCTTATGTTCTGAGGACAAACAGCAGCCTCAGTAGTATGCGGCTTCCAACTGTGTGCTAAGGAAATGAATCCCACTCTTAGGCTGCAGGGCGCAAATCGATACGAAGCATGTTGTGTTTGTCAGTGTACTTTTTCAGATGGTTTGCAGTGATGCAGAGTAGGGGTGTTTTGTCAGCCAAGGATTAGTAGAAAGACCTTTCTGGGTAAATGAAAGATGGAAGCTGAGTGGAGAGATCACCAGTGCAGAAAAGCAAATTATTGCTTGAATTGGGGAGCCCATGGTAGTCGAATGTAGATTGATTCCCCCCTCCCCCAAATGTTAATCATTAGTGCAAGGAACTGGAGTTACTTTAACTGAAAGAAGAATACAGCAGTCCAAATTTTAAGTCCAGTGGCACCTTTAAGGCCGACAATGTTTAATTCTGGGTATAAGCTTTTGTGTGCACACACACTCCTGCACACGAAAGCTTCTACCCAGACTAAAACTTGGTTGGTCTTAAAGGTGCCACTGGGACTCAAACTTTGTTCTGTTGCTTCAGACCAGCACGGCTACCCCACCTGAAGCAGTCCAAATTGTGTGCCTGCAGTGGGATCGTGTTTGTATGACCTAAACACCCTGCTGTATAAAGTCCTGTCTGTCCCTCCCCCCCATTAATTTTTATGGGGAACTTCTTGCTAACACTTCCCTTTATCCATTCAGGTCTGGTATGATGTCCGCACCCACCAGAAGCTTCATGCTCCTCAGACCCTCTATTTAACAGTCACCATGAGCAGCGTAAGTCAGAGAAGGGATTGGGTTTCATTGGGGGAGGAGCCATGGCTCACTGGCAGAGCATCTGCTTGGCGTGCAGAAGGTCCCAGGTTCTTTTTTTTGTAAAGTTATAATTTTTTTTATTTTATAGGACAAAACAAATAAACTAACATAACAAGCACAAACTTACATACTGGGGTAACTTATTCGACATCATTTTTTAATCTATTTAAGTACCTCATACATATCCAGAATGTTATATAATTATATAATATAATATATATATATAATATATAAATAATATATATATGTAATATATTTTATTTATAATGTATAAAAATCAAATATTTAAATGTTTAAATATACCATTCATAATTTCTTCTGATTTAAACTTTGTTATCTCAGCGTTTTCAAAGATTCTACTCAGCTATACAGACTGAGAATTTTTTTTTTTAGCAATTTTACTCAATTGAACCATCATAAGGTTTCCCTAGCCAGTGTCATTTATGAAGTCCCAGGTTCAATCCCTGGCATCTCCGGTTAAAAGGACCAGGTAGCAGGACATGTGAAAGACCTCCACCTGTGACCCTGGAGAGCTGCTCCCGGTCTGAGTAGACAATAGTGACCTTGGTGGGCCACTGGTCTGATTCAGTACAAGGCAGCTTCATGTGCACCTGAGGGTGGAGGAGGGCCGGGTCTTCCTGCTCCCTGATTGCTTTCTTCTTCACATGCCACTCCCTGAGTGCTGACTCTAGTCTCCCTCTGCAGATCCCCGTGTACCAACGTGGTGGCAGCATCGTGGCCAGGAAGGAGCGAGTCCGACGGTCTTCGGATTGCATGCAGAACGACCCTTACACCCTCTATGTGGCCTTGGGCCCCCAGGTCAGTGTGTCATCAGCTGCGTCTGCAGAGCTGCACCCTACGGTTCAGTCAACAGGGTTTTCCAATCTTTTTTCTGAATTTCCCATTGCAGGGTACGGCGAAAGGGGACCTCTTTGTTGACGACGGGCACACGTATAATTTCGAGACGAAGGGGCAGTACCTACATCGCCGCTTCAGTTTCTCTGGCAACACCTTGACAGCCAGGTACTCCCCCGACCCCCCAGTCAAAGGATCTTTCACACTGAGGTGGTAAACCTGTCCCCGGGCTGTACTACTTCAGATTTGCATGGCTGAATATCAAGCTGTACACTGTGTGGTTGGTATACAGGGAATCCCAGTTCATTTCCCAGTATGGGGGTTGGACCACCTTCCCTATGAGGAAAGGCTGAAGACCCTGGGACTTTTCAGTTTAGAAAAAAGACTCCTAAGGGGGGGGAGGGGATGATACAGGTTTATAAAATTATGCTTGGGGGTAGAGAGAGTTGGCAAAGAGAACTTTTTATCCCTCTCCCAAAGTACTAGCACTCGAGGGCATCCAATGAAGCTTATGGGCTTCTTTATACTTCTTTACGCAGAGAGTGATTAAAATGTGGGAATCACTGCCAGTGGATGTAGTGATGGCCACAGGAATAAACAGCTTTAAAAGGGGATAGGTTCATGGCTACTAGCCATGGTGACTGACTGGTGGGGGGGGGGCACTAATCCTCTGAATCCCAGAGCCAGGAGGCAACTTCAGGGGAGGGCCTCGGCCACTATGCCCTATTGTTGACCATCCAGAGGAACTGGTTGGCCACTGTGCGAGACAGGATGCTAGACTAGATAGACCCCGGGTATGATCCAGAAGGGCTCTTCTTACGTTCCAATTCAATTCCAATAACCTTTATTGGCATAACAATAACTTTAAAAAGAAAACAGTACAAATCAGCCCATATGCCAATAAATAGAAACCGAGTACAACGATTTGTAACATTGTATATAGAAATAATAATAGGGCAAGGTGATAAAAGTTTGGAACAGTAATCTCGAGTATCACAGTAATTAAAACAGTTGCAGTAAGAAACTTAACTATCCGGAGAGGGATCATAGATACACCTTATCTCTTTCACTCACTCTCCACCTCCTTTCCTCTTCCCTCTTTTCTTTCCTTTTTTTCTAGGCCCCTAAGTACACTTGCCAGGAACTCTGCTACCTGCTCAATAACTTCAGGGTTTTTATCCACTAGTAAGAATTCAGTGCCTCTATTGGTCGCAGCCTTAGTTGAAGGAGAGGGCTAATCAAGTGTGAATGTAGCTGAGTAAACAGCGGGCAGTTTAAGAGGATATGCTGAACTAGGCTTGCCAAGTCCCCCCGGGGGGCGGGGAAACCCCCGCCCCAGAGGCCTGTTCCCTGCTGGCGGCGGATTGGGCCCCGGGGGGAACTCCACCCCGACGTGCACGTCACCCGGAAGTGAGGCGACCACGCCGGGCACGCTGGGGGCGGAGCCACGGTCATGGCCCCGCCCCCAGCATGCCCGGCGTGCCCGCGTCACTTTCGGGTGATGTGGATGCGGCACGCACGCGCGCACTCCAGCCGCCAGCCGGGAGTCCCCCACTGCGGCTCAATTCACACTTGGCAACCCTATGCTGAACAGAGTCAGGTTCTTTGCTAAGACATCTGCAGAATCTTGCCTTGTATCTACCTGTGACCACGGCCAAAGGAAATATATTGAATCTGGCCAGCATAAATGCTCTGTGTTGAGAAGGGATTGTTAGGCTTGAAAAGTACTGAGTCATAGAGTTTTGTGGGTTCTTATGCTCACATGCAGCTGAAGACTCTGTGGCTGCAGGTGTTGGGAATGGTATTTTCCCTGCCTGAGCGCTGCTGCTGGCCACAGGATTTGGTACTGAGCTAGAAGAACCAATGGTCTGATTCTGTGTCAGGCAGCTCTGTAGGTTTGTGCCTTTAGCAGTCTGTCACTCCCATTCCAGGAGCTGCGGTGGCTCAAGTGGTTAAGACGCTGAACTGCAGGCTGTGAAAGGTCACTAGTTCAGCAGTTCGAGACCCGAGTGTGCCGCATGACGGAGTGAGCTCCCGTCTCTGGCCCCAGCTCCTGCCAACCTAGCAGTTCGAAAGCAAGAAATTGCAAGTAGATAAATAGGTACCACTTCAGTGGGAAGGTAACAGCGTTCCGTGCGCCTTGTTTAGTCATGCCGGCCACATGACCACGGAAACGTCTTCAGACAGCGCTGGCTCTTCGGCTTTGAAACGGAGATGAGCACCGCAACCCTAGAGTCGGATTCGACTGGCTTTTGAGCAAGGGAACCTTTACCTTTACTCCCATTCCATGTAATGACCATATCGTTGCTGATCTCTACCCCTTTTCTGTCTTCTTCCAGCTCTGCAGACCCTAAGGGCAGCTATGAAACTTCAGCGTGGATCGAAAGGGTGGTGATCCTGGGAGCTGGGAAACCAGCAGCCGTGTTCCTCAAACAAGCTGGTGAGTGGTTTGCTCTGGGCATAAAGCAACCACGTTTCATAACAGTGCCATTCATATGCCACCTGCGTTCCATGCACTGTGCGATAGAGAAGCTCACCACCAGGACCCAGCACTGAATGAGTACCAGCTGTCCTGGTTTCAGAGATGAGGCCCTGCCAGCAGGAAAAGAGAGACTAGTTAGGTCCAGAATCCAACCCAGCAAGCCAGTACTTATGCACTTCTCCTGTGGGTATATCATGTTTCCCTTGCACTGGACAGGCTTTGTTTTGGACCTAGGAGAATTCTGTGTCTGCTCTTCTCCTTCCCTTTACTGTTGTGAATTCTTTGTGTGAGACAAGTGACCAGACATCATAAACTCTCCTGACCGCTGTGGCAAAGGGTAGCAAAGCTGTTTATTGGGCTACCTTGTTGTAAAAGGGTATGTTTTCTTGTGATGTCTGGCTTTTTCAGCTCAGCCACTGTCTTCCCTCTTTATGAGAATCATGTGCACCAACAAGTAGAGATGTAAAATTTCCGGAAATTTTGAAGCTCGGAAAAAAACGGAAATTTTCAGAAAAATTGAAAAAAATGCTGCATTAGCATTTCTTTTGTCTTTTCTAGATTGACAGTCATTCTGTTACTTTAGGAACATAAAATATGACTATGGACATTTTTATTTGGCATGAAATTATCACACCTAGCATATTAAAAATATAGTGTATCCAAACAATTATTACAAACAGAATACCCACCCACATGCAAAAACAAAACTGAAACCTTTTTATTTTCTTCTGACAATAGCACCTCCTAAAGGAAGAAATGCATCTTGTTCTTGCATTGGAGAGTTCAGTTTGTAACCTAGGACTTGCTTGTCCTCAGTGCACAGAAATTAGATCAATCTGATACCATATATATATATTTTAGAAATGATTTGGAAAATATTTGAACACCTTGTCTTAAAATATTTTATTCATCATGTTAAAATAAAACGTTCCATAATCATTTTTTTTCTTTTCTTTTCTTTTTTCAATTTTTCCAATTTTTCGGGAAAAAACAAAAAATCTTCAGGAAAAAAACGGGAAAAAACTGGTTTTTTTCCCGAATTTTTCCGGTTTTTTCCGGGCCTTCACATCTCTACCAACAAGCAGATAGAGAAAGAGGTTTAGTCCATAAAATAAGATATACGTTTATGTAAGATCCTGGGGTACATTTGGGGAGCATAGTGACCTTGCAAACAGCTTGAGTGGGTTTGGGTACTGTCCGGTTGGGTGGCTTCCGGGGAATCTTCCCTGTGCCCAGCCTTGATCTCCATGGTGGAAGAAAAGGTTGGACGGTCAAGTGCCATCAATTAAACCAAAAAATGGAATAAAATGAAAAGCTCATTCCCAGTTGCTCCCAAGTCATGGCTTGGAGGATCAGTAATGCCACACGTGCCCTAACCCGGATAGCCCAGGTTAGTGCAATCTTGTCAGAGTTCAGGAGCTAAACAGGCTCAGCAGTTGCTAGTATTTGGATGGGAGACCACCAAGGAATGACCAGGGTTGCTATGCAAAGCGGACACATGAAGCTGCCTTATACTGAATCAGACCCTCGGTCCACCAGAGCCAGTACTGTCTACTCAGACTGGCAGCAGCTTTCCAGGGTCTCAGGCCCCGAGGTCTTTCACTTCACTTCCTACCTGATCCGTTTAACTGGAGATGCTGGGGATTGAACCTGGGCCCTTCTGCATGTCAAGCAGAATCTTCTGCCACTGAGCCACGGCCCCTCCCCTCAGTGGCAAACCGCCTCTGAACCTCTCTTGCCTTGAAAACCCTGTGGGGTCTCCATAAGTCCGCTGTGACTTGAAGGCCCTCTCCACCACCAGTAGCACACATGTACCGACCTGTGGACTACAGGTAAGATTAGGTGAGCCTGGTTCAAAGGGTGGCAGTGTGCCAGGATCACTGTGCGTTATTATTTATTAAATTAGTGGATCACCCAGTCCCTGGTACTGCAGGGCTCTGGGTGATACACAGTGTTTGATAAAAGCATCAAAGCCATAGTATTTGGAATATAATGTGTAAACAGGACAAATACAGCAAATCTAAAAGAATCAGATGTCATCGTTTCACAATTCTTATGCCAGACTGCAGCCACCTCATGGGTGGGGGGAAGAGGAACAGAGCAGTCTGGAGAGGAGGAGCGGGTACCAGCCATGATAGAAACTGTTGCTGTCCTCAACCAAAAACCTGGTGGAACTTTTCTGCCTTACAAGCCCTGCGGAATTGCACAGGCTCCGACAGGGCCTTGATGGTGTCCAGCAGAGAGTTCTACCATGTTGGGTCCAGGACCGAAAAGGCCCTGGCTGTGGTCGAGGACAGCTGGATATTTCCGCGATGAGCTTATGTCTTCCGAGTCCCAGGAGTCACCTTTTGAGATTACATATTGAAATGACGTATGTAGGGTTACAGGAAGCAAGGCGGCTTTGAGGACAATGATTAACACGTAGACTCAGTTGTTTGGCACAGTGTTGAGCAGGCTGCCTGCACGTCCCAAGTCAAGCTAATCTCATCTGCAAACTGTAAACCACAGTTCCAAAGTTGAAGGAAGCAGCTCTCGTATCAGTAGCAACTTCAGTGGTTTCACAGGAAGTGCCCTGTGTTCTCTCACCCAGATGTTGCACTGCCTCTCCGGAGGGCGGATGCTTTTTGCACAAATCAGCTCTCTTCGACAGATTAAACTTCATCCATTGGACGCAGCCTGCAATTTAAGTGAATTTTCTACCAGATAATAGACTTGTGTTTGTTCGAAACTCCAAATTCAGCATCACAGAGGGCTTTTTTTGATGGGCAGGCTAGAAATGGCTGGCTTCAGATCAGATTAGAGTGAACCAGGTCAGGAGATGTACATCTTATAAGATCAAATATGAATAAGAATATATAGCAAAAAAGGTGTTAATCCAGATTCTTACTCCTTTGCGCCTCCTCTAAATGGGCTCAGATCACCTTTTGAAGGGTTTATTTGGTGTAGTGGTGAAGTGCACGGTCTCTAATCTGGGAGAACCGGGTTTGATTCCACACTCCCCCACTTGCAGCTGCTGGATGACCTTTGTCAAGCCATAGTTCTGGCACAGCTGTTCTTGAAAAAGAGGTTTTTGTCAGAGCTCCCTCAGCCCCACCTACCTCACAGGGTGTCTGTTGTGGGGAGGGGAAGGGAAAGGAGTTTGTAAGCCGCTCTGAGACTCCTTTGGGTAGTAAAGGGCAGGGTATAAATTCAATCTTACATTATTCTGCCCCTCTCAGATTTAGCCTAACAGCAGCCCTGTGAGGTAGGTTAGGTTGAGTGTGAGACGGGGGCCCAAGGTCACCCAGAGAAGCTTCCATGGCAGAGTGGAGATTTGAACCTGAGTCTTCCAGAACCTCTGACCACTACACCACATTGGTTCTCAGGTTTCCTTGTCACCCTCCGTTCAGACAAATTCCAGAGGCGTTGCCGTGTTCTTCCATTTCAGCAAAAACAAAAGAAGCGTTTTGGGGCACCTCAGTGACTTACTGTGGCAGAAAGTTTTGTGGGCTGAAGCACACTTAATCAGATGCACGGACCCTTACCGTGAGTCAGCAGATGACCACTTGTGTGCATTACACATTGGTTACGTGTGCTGTCACAGCTGACTTACAGCGACCCCAGAGAGTTTCCAAGGCTAGAGACGTTTAGAACAGGTTTGCCACTTGTGTAGTGACCTCGGACTTCCATGGTTGTTTCCAAATCCCATCCAAATACTAACCAGGTCCGACCCTGCCTAGGCTTCCAAGATCTGACAAGATGGGGCTAGCCTGGGCTATCCAGGTTGGGGCTATACAATGGTTATAGATAAGCATAATTGTAAAATGTGGAATCATATGAGATGCAGGAGGCAGCATGTGACATTTCTGTGCCATATGCATTTAGTCGCGCCCCCCCCCCACTGTTTACATTTTTCCTTCTGTCCTTGCGTATCTGTCTGCCAACTGAGAGTACACTTCCAGCATCCAGTGAAGTATACTCATCTGTCAAAACTATGCCACAGTGAATCTTTTAAAGATGCCATAAGATGCTTTTTAGTGTGTGTCCGTTCGAACGTTTAGGCGGTATACAAGGTGAGAAGGGCACCATGTGTTTCTTCCGCTCATTCCCTGGGGGAGCATTATTTCATCAACTGTAACTTCTCTTCCCCTCTCCCCAGGTGTCACTGAGACCCGCCTGGACTTCACGCACGAGGCCGACACGTCTGTCTTAACCCTTCGCAAGCCTGCAGTTAACATTGCGGCAGACTGGAGTATCTCTTTGCGATAATGCTACGAGGCGGGGGGGAGGTTGGATGGAAGGGGGGGGAGAGACATCGGCAGTGTTGGGGGACTTTAGGCCAGCCCCTTTAACTGAGGAACGGTGCCGTAAGCTCAGCCGGTAGCTCCCCTCCTGCAGTGTCTTGGGTCCAGTGTCTCATAGCAGGCAGGCATGTTTGAGGAGAGGGGCGACCCAGTCGCTCCCTCCCCCTTGCCCCCCCCCCTTCAGCCCTAGCTCAGACTCGGATTTTCGGGTGGCTCCCATAGGTTAATTTTTAGCAATATTTGCTGTAGAGTGAGAAATCTCCGGGTTGAAGTTAGGTTGGTCTCGTTTTCCTCCTGCCTCTGTTTGGGGGGGTGGTGGTGAAGGAAGGGAGACCCTTTCTCTTCCCCTTTCCCGGACATGCGATAGTGGGACCAACCTTTTGAGTGGCTCAGCCTTTCCCGGGGAGGGCGGAGGAATAGTTTATTCAAACTGCTCTTTTCCTGCCCATCTCTCCTTTTTCCTTTACATCCCTTCCCCCCCATTCTGGCTGGAGTTCCAGGCCAGTGTGTGAATCGATTTAAAAAGAAAAGGAAAAAAAGATGATTTACCTAGGCAAGGGCTGCCTTTAAACTCCTTTCCTTGCCACCAGGTGAATGTATAGGGAGTCCTCCTTCAATTATTTCCCTCATGCCTCCCATGCAGCCATATGCCATAAACCCAAATGAACGGATACAGCTTGACCATCTTCTCATCCTCCCCAGCCCCTAAGTCCCCAAAGGTTCTTATTTCTCTCTCTGACACACACACACACCACTTCTTCCCAAATCCGTTACGGTGTAGGGGAGCAGGAATTTTTGTTTTTTGGGGGGGAGGGCAGGGGGCAGGTATTTCTAGGTGTCAGTGAATCACTGTCGCTTCTATTTATATTGGGAGAGGGATGGAAGATGGATCATGGGAAAGGAACGGATGTTGCAGGTTGGCTACAAAACTGCACCCCGGATTGGGGGAGAAGTGGGAAGAAGGGAAATCGTAATTTTTCCCCCCTGCACCAAAACCTAAGGATGAGGGGGGAGAAAAAGTGGGTGTACACAAGCTGCTAACAAAACGGGCCCCTCCCCTGCTGGAAAGAGAGACGAGGGGCCATCCTTGAGCGGGAACCGGCAGGGATCTTTCCTCAGTTGTTGCAGCGCCTCTCATCCCCTGCTGCTGGCTGTCAGCTCTGCTGCCCTCAGACCAGGCCATATGGATTTCTTTGGTCGTCTCTTTTTGTGTGTACGTGGATTTAACATTCCTGGTCCTGGCCAGTTCTCCCTTGTTGTATGTTTGCAGGCAAAGACCCAGAGCAAGGCTTTTAAATTTCTCAAAACTGTCATCTTTAATGTACACACCCACATGAATTCCCCCCCCCCGCCCCTCTTGATTGTGATTTCATTTGCAAGTAGTGCTTTTACTGACTGGGTGTTTTGATAAAAGATGGACAATTAAAATAAAATAAAAAAAAAAACCTCTGAAGGATTATGTTGCCTTTTTTTCATTCAAGTTACGTATAGGAGGCGCAAGTGGCCACTGCTGCAAAAGGTATGTTTGTGACGACCTCCTATTAGGGAGGACTGTATTTCTCTTTAAATGTGCTCTTTATTTCTGTAAAACTGGGTAGATTCGGCTGCCACCAGGAATTTAAGGATTTCCAAACCTTCTGTTTCTCTTGTTGGTAGGGCAACACAGGCTCAAGGCTTTTCAGGGATCTATTGTGGTCCAGAGGAAGAATTGATACGAATTCTGGGATATTTTAAAATAAAATAGGATTTATTAAAAGGGGAACAAAATAAGAAGTTGGTAATTATTTAACTGGTTGGGAATTAGGTTTCTTTAACACACATATACTGATCCTTCTTGGATCCCACACAGATTCTTTAGTCTCTCTCACTCTCTGACTCCACACTGCATTGCCAGAGGTCTCACTGACTGAAAATCAACTGCACAACATCAACTGCTTTTTCACCAACTCTCATTATTCCAACTGTCATTCTCCACTCTCTCACTGACACACCCACACAGATCCACACAGAATAACTCCTCCCACAATCTGCCATCCACCAATCATGGCACTCTAGTTACTATCAAAAATTTAAAGGGACACTCTCAAACAAGGAATCATCACAATGTTATTGTCACATTACATGGGCTGGCTGGTAAGAATGGTGTGAGGAAGCAGATGAGTAGAAATGGCTATTGTGAAAATTCACCTGTTGGCCTGTATGACTTGGCCTTCAGCAGTCTCTCTGAATGTCCCATCTTTCTGCTTGACGTAGGCATAATTGCCACCAGATAATCTTCCAAGAGGTTTTTCTGTACTCCAAATATATCATAGATGTCTGAAAGGTCTGTCCTGCCTGTCTCAGATCATTTTGTCGATTTTCTCCTATGGAACAAGAGGGATAGTATTTGAAGCGCTACTGGATTTGAATATGCATGGGTCCACATTCCACCAGGTGGCATGCATTGCAGTTTGTCTGGAAAGGGGGACGCTTTGTGCTTGCTCCCCCCCCCCAGATATGTTCTTGCCCCTTCAGTTTTGTTTTTTTTTAAAGTGGTCGTGGTTGGCAAAAAGATATTCTGCACTGGCATGGAGACATTCAGTTGAAAATGAGCTGCCTTGAAATTGCAGAGTTTGGTTTGAAAGTATTGAAATAAACTTTAAAGCTCAGATCCCCTTATTCTTACATGAGGGTCTCACTAATCGTTACAGCAGTATCAAGGTAATATCTGTCTCTTCTCACTGTGAAAGGTGGCAATGTGGCAAAGTGGATGAGCAGGAGGCAGCAAAGCTGCTATCTCAATCCCACCATAAATGCAGTGGGTGCTTTCAGACTATCTTCTCTAACACAAATCTGCAACTTCAATATGACTATAACTCTGGTCTACCTTGTGGCAGTAAACTAAGCATTACTGTACTAAAGTGGGTTCATGTGGGGAGCCATGTTGGTCTGAAGTGGCAGGCACCTTTAAGACCAACGAAGTTTTATTCTGGGTATGGGCTTTTGTGTGTGTGCACACTTTCAGATACATTGAAACCGAGTCACCGATCATTACATATAGGTAGTGGGTGAGGAGGATATTGCCACGAATGGCCAATTTGAGCTAAGATTGGATTAAGGCACTTGGTAAAACCTCCGCATAGCAGCAGATTAATATACAGCAGAATAAAGGAGTTTACAACAATTCTAAGAACTGAGCGATGTTAACATGTGCAGTGAGATAAGAAAATTATATCTGTTAAGCCCCAGGGGTCACATTGTCCTGAGTGTTGTAATAACGTGTAACTCAGCAATCTCCTGTTCTAGTCTGTTTCGGAAGTTCATTGCAATCAAACAGCAGTGCCCTGGGAGGTTGAAATTGTCTCCTGCGTGTTTCTCAGTCTTCTGATTCTTGATGTCAGATTTGTGTCCGTTTATCCTATGGCAGTGATGGCGAACCTTTTAGAGACCAAGTGCCCAAACTGCGACCCAAAACCCACTTATTTATCGCAAAGTGCCAACACGGCAATTTAACCTGAATACTGAGGTTTTACTTTAGAAAAAACCACTCATACATTATAAGATGATCCAAACAAAGTAAGGAAAGCAATCCCAAATGCTTTCATTTTCTTAAAATTATTTGGCAGAGAATTCGACACTGTAATGATGGTCTGGGCCTGGCTGGGGCGATGGCATGCGTGCCCACAGAGAGGGCTCTGAGTGCCACCTGGTTCGCCACCACTGTCTTGTGGCATAGGGTTTGACCTGTTTGAAATACTCTCTGACCACTGAAACGGCTCAGCCTGCAACACCTTGCTCCTGTACTGAATTCTGAAGCAGCCAGCTGACAAAAAAAAAAGCCCTCCTAGAATAGGTGGAGCAAAAATGCTTTAGCTACGCTCAGTAGCTGGTGGGGAGAAACCAAAGCACATTAGAGCAATATCCTCAAAAAACAAATAAGGGCAACGCTTTAGCAGTGGCAGCCAGCTACAAGAAACACAACGACCTTCCCCTGGTTACGTAGGTATTGCTTGAGTGTCTATGGCTTGTCTTTGCTTATTGCCTGGCCTCGTTGCAGGACTAGTAAAGATCAAATGCAGGATCGGAACATGTCACGATAAAAATGAGGAACAACAACTGGTGGTTATGCAAACACATACAAAGCTACTGGAAGCAGATCGTCATTCATATAGAAAAATTGACAAGTTACAACTTACCCTTGATGCCGGAACTGATGCTGTTACATCTGAAGCCTCCCGATCGCCCTCCTACAAAAAGAAGAAAATTAATATCCTGTTAACAACTGCTAAAATAACTATTGCAAAAAACTGGAAAAATAAAAAGCCTCCTACCCAATGGTAGGAGCTGCGGTGGCTCAAGTGGTTAAGACGATGAACTGCAGGCTGTGAAAGGTCAGTAGTTCAGCAGTTCGAGACCGGGTGCCGCATGACGGAGTGAGCTCCCGTCTCTAGTTCCGGCTCCTGCCAACCTAGCAGTTCGAAAGCAAGTAGATAAATAGGGACCACTTTGGTGGGAAGGTAGCAGCGTTCCGTGAGCCTTGGTGTTTAGTCATGCCGGCCACATGACCATGGAAACATCTTCGGACAGCGCTGGCTCTTCGGCTTTGAAACGGAGATGAGCACCACAACCCTAGAGTCGGACTCGACTGGCTTTCGAGCAAGGGAAACCTTTACCTTTAACTTTTTACCCAATGGTAAGACATGGGATATATTTATGCTGGAAAAATTTTCAATCTATGACACCACATTCCAAAACGAATGCGAGTTTCAAAACATACTTAATGTCTGGTACCCAATATTAGACAAAATATCGTTAGACAAATTTGACTGGGAAAAAATTACGGAAGCTAAATATAAGATCATGCTTTATAGCTGATAAAATAGAGCACGATATGTAGTTATTTTGTTTTTTCTTGTTTTTTCTGTATTAATAATAATAGCTCACAGTGTAATGTTATGTTTTTAGTAGAAAAACATTCTACTTTTCTGTCAACCAGATCTATTGTACTGAAATACATGTTTACCTGTTATGTATATGTAAAATTATTACGATTTCAATGTATATCTGTTTGACTACCTGCATTCTAAAAAGTTAATAAAATTTCTATTTAAAATAAAAATAAAAATGAGGAACGAAAAAAACAAGGTCAGACCGGAGATCGCTGCTTTGGGGGACCCAAAGCAGTGACGAACCGGGGCAGGCAGCTGGAGGACTACAAAGGCGGTAGGACCGGAAGTGGTGTGATGGCAGGAATAGGGTGGGGGACAGAGTGTGGGGGCGCTGGCTGTGATGGAGGGGCTCTGAGAAGAAGCTGAGGATCCCCCGGTCACCAACAGTAAAAGCGCGGTGAGCTTGGGCCTTTGCTCCGTCGCCATAGCAACGGTGTCACACCGTCTCCCCGCCGCCGCCGTCCTTCCTAGCGCAGGGTCGGCTCGATAGCTGAGGGAGGAATGAATCGCTGTTGCAATTGCATGAAAGGGAACGGGATTCAGAGATGCTGCATTGCTCAGGGTTGTGTAGGATCTTGCAGTGCTAGAGAGGAGGAAAGAGAGGCATCGCACAATTTAAAAGCACGACCCTGTGCATGGTTAGAAGTAATCCGTAGTGTATTCAATGAAACTTACTCCCAGGAAAGCGTGTACAGGATTGAAACCTAAATGTCTTAAAATAACAGGTGCTACCTGGCTGCAGTCCGTGCTTCCCAAGCTAGCAAGCCTGGCCTTCTAATGGTTGGGAGAACACAGAAATAGGATCTGCAGGTTTCAAGCTATGAATAGACACTGTGGTTTACATGAAGCCCTGAATCAAACTAAGGGATGGATGAGAATGCAGCACAGGGCATATGTTGTGGTACTGGGGGAAGGGGCTGGTGGGAGGGATAACAGAGTCATAGGGTATAGATGTGTCTTTGTCCCAGCAAGTAACAGTGCTGAAATATGAACGTTTCAGTATCCATGAATGAAGTAGGGCCAATACAGTGAGCAGCAGTAGCATTTATCCTTTGCACATTTGGGATCCAGCTTGAATCTCAGTTTACAACATGGGACCCCTTTACACACACTGATTTTATTTATGGTTACTTGGAAACAAATCTCACTTTATTTACCAGGGTTTACATAGGACTATAGCCTTGATTTTTAAGCATATTTTTTTCTGTGCTGTCTGCATGTGATAACGTAAGTGTGCAAGCTTGTGGAAACTTTTGCTGTGTGTTGTCAAAGAAAAGGCATTGGCAGGGCCGTAGGTGCTTTCTTGCCAATTGATGGGGGAATGTTGTTCTCAAGATGGATCTGGGTAGGGGTCCATCCTTTGAGGGGTAGAGAGATCTTCCCTGCTATGCAGGCAGGGAGGGGGATATCCTTTGGCATCAGACGCTGCTTAGAGATTCCGTGTTGTTGACGAGGAGCAGAAGAACCTAGTGGTGCTGTGAAGAGC